AGACCATGCCTGGCACGAATGAGACTTATCTAAGCATTCAAGTAAAAATAAATGAATCCATTCCAGGGCCGGCTCTGGGTGCATTGCATCTCCAACATGTACTGCCTTCCTCGTCCAAGATGAAGACTGTGGGTGTTGGGAGACACACAGAGTAAAGACAGGGAGGAGAGAGGGCACCAAAAGCACCCAACATCCCGGGAGCACCCCCCCCCCAGCAGAGACAGCCTCCCAAGAGAGCTGGGGACACGGGGAAGCCGGGAAAGCCACAGTTTTACCCAGACCTCAGCCCTGGGTGCAGAGAACAGCTGTCCAGGCCCCACCCACTCTGGGGGGCAAGAGGTTTGCTCAAAGACCTGGAGATGAGAGGAGAAATTTTACAGCTCTCCACCATGGGGTTCAGGGCATGGTCCCCTCTTCTCCATCTCTTCCCTCCCTCTGTGTCACCCTCAGCTCCCTGTTTGGTTCAGTGTCGCCCTCCACTTTCCGGGCAGCTGAGCCCTGGAGCCCAGGGACCCGGGCCTGACTGACAAGCTCAGCTTCAAATGGCAGCCGGTAGTCACCAGATCCCGGGGTGGGCTCTCTGGGCCCGGGCATCCCACCAGGGCCATCAGGCACTGAGGGCTGGCGCGAGTCCAGCCCCACAGCCCCAGCCTCCTCCATGGAACGCACAGGTGCAGAGCTGCCAGCGTCTACAAGTGTCTTCGGGGAGACAGCCCAGAGACTGATTTGGCACCTGCCCTCACTGACCCCTCCAGGCCACCACCCTGCCCAAGGTGGACACAGGATAAGTAGGACCCAGATGCCCTCTCACCTCCCCCACCCCTGCCTTGGGCCCCCACTCAGACCACAGTCCAGGCCCAGACCCTCCTGTGAAGAGGCTGATTGAGCCTCCATGCTGGCTGCCTCCCGAGAGCCCGTGTCTGAGTTGCTCTTGACTGGAGGTCACCCCCCCCCCGCCCTCTTTCACCTCCTCCCCAGATGACCCCAACCATGAGACACCAGGAGCAGCAAGCGAAGCCAGGAAAGGAGCCAACACCCTGAATCTCTTACTGACACCACTCTCCATTCCCACTGACTCACCCCTGCGGTGTTGGGGGCACCCCTGACCGTCCACCTGCCTGGCTGGCTCCTCCCTGCAAGGCTGCCCAGCGAGGCCTGGCTCCCGCCTCCCGCAGACGCTCCCAGGAGCTCAGCTCCGGCTCTAGGCAGCCAGCCAGCGGCACAGGAGGGGCCCGGACACATGCTCGTGTACACATACACACCACATATACACTCATGCACATATGCACGTGCATGTGTGCGCTCTCTCGAGGACACACAAACACACATCCACATGGACATGTGTGCACATGTCACGCACACGCAGAAACACACCTGCAGGCACTTGTATACACTTGTGCACACACAGACTGCACCGGCTCCCGGGAGCTCCGGGGCGGCCCACCTAGCTCTCCACGCACCCAGGTGGCCACACACAGGTGTGCAGAGTTCCACAGCCAGGCCACACTCACACAGCTATGCAGCGCCCACACTGGGTACACACCAGAGGCACAAATTTGATCTGGCACTCCCACGGTCCCACTCTGAGCCACACTAGGGCACCCAGGAGGGGACATCCACAGCTACCCGCAAGATGGTCTCTCTTGTGAGAAGCCCCCAAATCCCATTGTTGGGGTCTGAAACTCCTGTTCAGACACAGAACTGTCATGCCAGGGCCACCCTGGACCCCGGGGGATGGTGAGAACATGCTTTCTGCCCGGAGGGGAGGGCGCCAGGAGCCCTGGGCAGACAAGGGCAGGAGACAGATCAGATCTGGCCAGCTCAGCAGGACCCCACAGACTCTGTGACTCATGAATTTTTCAGAGGCACCCAAAGTGAAGAGTGAAGCTGCCAATGGGGTCCTGGGGGACCCTGCTTTAATTATTCACAGCCGAGCAGAGGGTGGTAGCATCTGGCCCTAAGGCCTTGGCTTCAGGCGCAGCCTCACGGAGCCTGGGGCAGGCAGGGTGCCTCTCTGGGCCTCCACATCCTCCTCGGCAGCCCAGGCATGCGAGCCCTTTATGGTAAGTGCCACTCTGTGTCCCCAGCTTGGTCCCCCCCACCAGGTGGCACTGTCGGGCTGGCTGTGGTGCTCCCCTTCACCCACCCACCACCCTGCCCAGCTGCCCACGGGGCTCCTCGAGCTGACAGCCTGCCCCCCAAACCTGGTGGACCCTGCCCCCTACCCTGCTCTGCAGCCCCTGCTTGTAGGAGGAAAGGCCCCCCAGCTCCGTCCATGCCCCAAGTGTGCACCTCCACCGGGCACCCTGGCAGGCATCACCCCAGCTCCAGGGGCCACTCCGGACCTGGACAGCGGCAGAGATAGGAGGGGAGCCCACTGGGCCGCACCTGTGAGCGCGCACTTGGTGCGCTCAGCTAAGCCCCTGCTCTGCCACTGGTGCCTTGCCACCCACACTGCTGCTGCGCTCAGGGGCTGTCAAAGTTCAGTCCAGGCACCTCCGGTCCCAAGAACCTTCTAGAAGGCCCTAGAGGTCAGAACTGCTTCCATAATCATACAAAGGCCTTATCTTTGTCACTACTGTTGTCTCTTATACATGGAGTTTTCCAGAGGCCATGATGTGTGATGACACCGCACATGTCTGCCACTGTGTGACAGTGTGACAACCAAGGGCTAGAGTGTCACACGAGAGGCTGTGTAGGTCCCCCCACCCCAATCCTCCCCTTGGGAAGGGGGCTCACCTCCTCACAGTGTCTCAAGCTTAAGGTGTGGCCCGTGCCCACCGGCCCCCAGAAGCCCACCTTCTGAGTGTGGGCGGCTCCAGGAACAGCTAGGGGTCTGCCCGCCGTCCCCCGGCAGAGTGCTGAAGGCAGGGGAGCCCCTCGCTGGACGATGGGGCAAATCCTGGGGAGGCGTGCTGCCCCTGTGGATGCCTAGAGCCACCGCACCCCCACCAGGCTGAGGCCCCAGGTTCCTGCCTCCTCTGGTCACAGTCCCCTGCCCATCCCGTGGGCGCACTCTGAGCCTGGTACCAGGGGTGCATCGAGCCCCAGAACCCTGCCGGGCTCCAGACCCAGGCGCTTGGACCTTCCTGGGCCAGCCTTCATCACCTCACCCGGGGCCGGCAGAGGGGCCTTGAGCACAGACCTCTGGTGGCAGGACCCGCCATCAGCCCACCTGCAGCGTCTGAGTGACCAGGACTCCCAGAGGGAGCCGGAGTCGGCAACAGCTCGGGACAGGAGAGCAGGGGGCCACCCCAGACCACAGAGGCTGTTCACCCCAGTGCGGTTTCCTTTCACTCTTACTCTGTCCCTGGCTCACAGCTTTCTTTGACTCGACAATCTCCTGGGGCAAACAGATTGCAGGGTCACCAGGTCCTCCCCAAGCCGGTGGCGGTAGCCTGGGTGAGGCCAGGAGAGCAGCAGGAGGCAACTGTTCTAAGGTCACAGGCAAAATACACTGTCCAGTTTGAATCTCAGATAAAGAACAAATACTTTTCCTGGTGTGAATACTGTATACCACATATTATATTAAAGAATTATCCACTGTTTATCTGAAATCCAAATGTGACTGGGTTTCCTGTGTCTGTATCCACCTGCTCAGGACACCCCCCTTGGTGGTCTCCATGGATCAATCCAGAGCCTTCCTGCACCGGGGTCTGTACCACCAGTGCCACTTCCCGGGACGCAGCCCAGAAACCGCACTCCGCCCGGCTACTCAGCCCTTCCTTCTCACCACACCCTGTTCATGCACCTTCCTGAGACCCATGCCCACTTTGGGACGGGGGGGACACACAGCAGCCCCTCCATGGACACCTTGGAACCATGTGCGCCCATCTCCCCTGGCTGGCAGCCTCACCCAGTGTGGTGGCCCGCATGTGCGCCCACAGATTTCAGGCCCCAATCCTTGGAACCTTGATGTGGCCTGTGCGGCAAGAAAGGGGCCTGCGGGAGTGACTAAATTCTGGATCTCAGGATGGGGACACTATCCTGGACTATCATGTAGGCCGACCACATGCATCTTTATAAGAGGAAGTGGAGGGAGATTTGACACACGGAAGGGACGCCGTGTGACCGTGGGGCAGACAGTGGAGGGACACAGCCACAAGCCAAGGCACATTGGGAGCCACTGGAAGCTGCAAGAGGCGAGAAACAGACCCTCCCTTAGAGCCTCTGGGGGAGCTCGGCCTTGCCAATGCCTGAACTTTGTCCCACTGGTGATGACTTTGGCCAGTGAGAGGGGACACCTCCGTCATTTTAAGCCACTAGTTTGAGGTCATTTGTTGCAGCAACCCTGGGAGACTCATGTGGTTGGCCTGCTGCTCACCCTGGAGGGGAGGCCCCCAGCCCAGTCCCCACCACAGGCAGCAGAGTCTGTACTGAGAGGCTGGTTGGCCAGTCTGCCCGCCCCCACCACAGCCCGGGCTCCTCCAGCACCGACCCCTGGCACCGGCTGGGAGCTGCTTTCCCGGAGCACAGACGGCTGGGCAGGGGCCTGCCATCCCCCCGCCCCCAGGCTTGATGACCAAAGTCGGGGCTTTCTCTAGGGTGTTGGGAGCTGGCGCTCCCGGGCTTGCTGAGGCTCAGCTGAGCGGATGCAGGTGATGGTGCCCCTCCAGCCACAGGTGACTGGCTGGGGAGGGGGTGAGACGTGGGAGCCAGTGTGTGTGACAGTCACTGGTGGGGGAGGAGCCCTCAGCTCTCAGAGAGACCCTCGACACATTCAGGCCCTTCTGTGGATCCGAAGTGACGGATTCTTCGTCCGGGACGCCCCCGGGAAGGGCATTCCCAAAACTGCCCCCCCCCCCCCGCGGCCATCCGGACCAGCTGCACTTCGGACCGGGCCTCCAGTGCTGGGCCACGGCGTGTGTGCGGACCCCCGCCCCACCACCCACGCTGGGTTGCGCGGGGCGCCCCCGGGCCGGCAGGAAGGGGGTCGGGGAGAGCGCAGAGCGGCCCCGCCCCGCCCCGCCCGACCACACCCAGAAGCAGGCGCACGCGGCTCTGGGGTCGCTCAGTTTATTGGTAAAACGGGCACTGAGCGCGGCGAAGTCTGGGCGCGGAAGCAGGGGCGGCGGGGGCGCTTTTCCTCTTAAAGAACTTCCACTGGACCTTGATGGCGAGCATCCAGTCGCTGACCGAGAGCCTCTTACAAGCGGAGGTGCAGACATGCGCCTGGCGGGGGGGCGGGGCGCCGGGCCGGGGGCGGGGGCGGGGGCGGGGCCGGGACGCGGCGCCGCCGGGGAGGGTCGCGCCGCGGGCGCCCGTGCTTCACTTGCCCGCCTTCTGAGCCTTCTGCGCGGACTTGGTGACCTTGCCGGCGCCGCCGCTCTTCTTCTCCACGTTCTTGATAACGCCCACGGCCACCGTCTGCCGCATGTCGCGCACCGCGAAGCGGCCTGCGGGGAGGGAGCGTGAGGGGGCGGGGCCAGGCGCCTCCCCGGCCCCGCCCCGGCCCCGCCCCGGCCCCGCCCCGGCCCCGCCCCGGCCCCGCCCCGCCCCGGCCGGCCCGCGGAGCGCAGGCGCCCTCGCGCTCGCTGCCCCCCGCTCCGCCGGCCGGGGTCCGGGCGGGGCCGCGCCGCTGGAGGACCGCGGGCCGCTAACGCTACCAGGTTCTTTGGCGGCAGGAACGGCTGCAGGACCCCCCGGATGTGGTGGGGGTCCCAGGACGCGCGGACGCTCTCAGAGAGCGCCTGGCGAGGCCGGCGGGGCGTCCCCGGGCCCGGTGCGCGGCCAGACAGCTGCTGTCCAGCCGTCGCCCCGATTCTACCAGAGTAGCCGTGGGTCCGGGGCCTCCCCGGAGAAGGACACCATCCCAGCGCTGACCGGCGGGGCTGCTTCATGGGCCCGAGGCCCCGGGTCTGCTGGCTCTAACCGCAGCCAGCGGAAGGACCCCACCCCCAGCCCGGGTGGCCCCTGGGCCCCCAGGGTCTGCCCCACCCAGGCCGCACGTCCCCCCACCAGCTCACCAAGAGGCGGGTACTGGGAGAAGCTCTCCACGCACATGGGCTTCCCAGGGACCATCTCCACGATGGCCGCGTCGCCAGACTTGAGAGCTTTGGGGTTGTCCTCCAGCTTCTTGCCTGAGCGCCGGTCGATCTTCTCCTTCAGCTCCGCAAACTTGCAGGCAATGTGTGCTGTGTGGCAGTCGATGACCGGTGAGTAGCCGGCACTGATCTGCCCTGGGTGGTTCAGAATGATGACCTGCGGGAGAGGCGCACGAGGCGGTCAGGGGTGCCCACAGCGGGCGACATGGCATCAGGGCGAGGCTTTAGGCCCAGGAGCCCCGGTGCTGGCCGCGGGGAAAGGTCAGGCTACGGGACACCCGCTCCCTGACGTGGGCCCCAGGGTCCTCGTTAAGCATTTGGCAAACCACGAGAGATGAACACCCAGTGAGTGGGCTGCGCTTGTACCATCCGCACTGGCCAGAGCTGAGGCAGGGGACGAGAAAACCTCAGTTCTGTGTCGTGGAGGCCACTGTTTACAACTGTCGTCACCCAGAGAGCTGATCAAAGAGGGTGCCGTGAAAATGTAGAGAGTGGAAGTATTACAGAGATGTCTCCGGCAATAAACTAACAAAAACATGTTCAGGACTCAAGCAGGACCTCAGTGAGATTCAGAGCGACGAGGCCCGGGCCACCCAGTGTCTGCTCTTCCTGTGAGTGCCCTCAGCCCTCCAGCCACTCCAGGCCTGGGTGGCCCTGTTTCTAAAGCGAGGGTCTAAGTTTTCCCAAGCGCTAAGGGGGTGTCACGCCCTGTGCTAATACCAGGCAGCCGCTTCGCTAAGGACAGCCCACCACCCTTGAGGGAATGGGCCGCACTGGCCCCCCTGTGGCCGTGCACCTGGGAGGTAAACTGCGCAGCCTCCTGGGGTGGGTCAGACTTGCTGTCCCCACACACGTTGCCTCGGCGGATGTCCTTGACCGACACGTTCTTCACATTGAAGCCGACGTTGTCACCAGGCAGGGCCTCACTCAGGGCCTCATGGTGCATCTCCACTGACTTCACCTCCGTGGTGATGTTCACAGGCGCAAAGGTCACCACCATGCCCGGCCGAAGAATGCCCGTCTCCACTCGGCCCACGGGCACGGTGCCAATGCCTGGGTGGAGGGGAAGGACACTGTGAGGGGTGAGGGGTGTGTGTAGCCACATGGGTGGAGTGCAAGGCGGGGGGAGACCCCAGACAAGGCAGACACTGAGGTTCAGACGGAAGCAGGGGCTCCCCTGGCCTGTCTGTTGGGAACAGAAAGGACTGAACAGAAAGAACCCCCGTGATGCTGGGCCTGCCCCAGCAAAGTGGGGGGAGTGTGGGGGGAGGGAGGCCTGTCTGGGCCGGGGGGAGGCACTGCAGGGACCCCTTTCTCTGAAGCCCTGCCTGGCAAGACAGCAGCACCAGCACAGGTCAAGGACCGCCTGGCCTGGCTCTGATGTCGCCGATCTCAGGGGGCTGCGCCACTCCCGGAGGGACACTGGGGCGCCAGTACTTCTCATGGGTCCGCTGACGCCTGTGTGGCCACCCAGTGGCTGTGTGGTCTCCCCCAGCGAGTGTGCAGAGGAGGCCCTACTCCGATATCCCTGGCTGTGGTGTGACAGACATTGAGGCTGGTGGCTGTTCTCTGTGCCGGATGTGTGACGCCTCCCTTCTGCACGAGCCCCCTGGGGTCCCCACAGTGCCCCTTGTGAGCCTCATGCTTATGGCTTCTCTGTCGCCTCACGAATAGCATTTCTCATGCCTGGGGAAGGTCGTGTCTCCCGCAGGACTGTAACAGTCATGGGGAAGGGGACTGTGAGTTACACTTGTGCCGCCAAGTGGCACAGGACTCAGTGCTTACTCGAAGGGGGAAAGACCCTGGACAGATAGATGAATGGGTAGGGGTGGGTGGGTGGATGGATGGATGGACGGATGGATGTGTAGGGTACCATTGTCTGGATAGTGATAGATGGGTGGGTGGACAGATGGATAGGGATGGATGGATGTGTAGATGGACAGATAGCCAGATGGATGGATGGATGGATGGAGCATGGAGATGGACAGGTGGATGGATGGTCCCTGAGAAAGCGTACAGCACTGAGGAAGAGGCAGATAACTTGGTCTTGAACCCTCCTCGTCAGGGGCCCTGGTCTTAGGAGCAGGGCGTATGGGGCAGAGCTGGCCAGGCCTGCGGTGGGGCGGCAAGTGTCAAGCACTGAAGACTCACTCACCGCCGATCTTGTACACATCCTGTAATGGCAGGCGCAGAGGCTTATCTGTGGGGCGCGTGGGGGGCAGGATGGTGTCCAGGGCTTCCAGCAGGGACACGCCGCTGGCGTTCCCCTCCTTACGCTCCACTTTCCAGCCCTTGAACCACGGCATCTGTACAAAAAGAAGGGGCCCACTGGAGGTAGAGACCACCTCCACCTGCCCCACCCTGTACAGCAGCCCCAGGGCCTCCCCAGGACTTTCCAGGAACCCGGGCGGAGGCATGTAACCTGAGGGGGCCTTGGGGGGCAGGGGAGCATGGACTCGCCACTGCCTAATGGCCAACGGCTCACCCTAAGCCAGTTCATGCCATCGAGACGCTGCATAGCCCTGCAGCCTCCCCAACCCCAGTTCACACTCCCAGCATCACAGAAGCCTTGAGAAAGGAGATCTGGCAAAAAAAAAAAAAAAAAAAAAAAAGGTGCGGAGCCCCTTCCGGAACCAGCCCAGACTGGTCAGACTGTGCTCAGACAGAGGAGGGTTCTGGCACCTCTGAATAGGCGTCCAGCACAGAGCCCAGCCCAGCTCAGCCCCGCTTTCTTGCAGATCCCTGGGCAGGGCCAGCACCAGAGCAGGAGGGCCCGGAGTCCAGCCAGCGGCCAGGCTGGAAGCAGAGCGTCCAGCCTCGGCCCCCAGCCACCGTGCCAGCCGTCCCCAGGCACGGCTGAGCCGGCATCGCCCAGGGCTTCTCCCACCAGCACACCCAGCGCCCTCCTGCGTGGAGCCACAGGCACGCTGGCCACGGGCAGGGAGAAGGGGAGGGGCCGGCAGTGCTGCCCGGGACTGCGTCCCCCACATGGCACAGATCAACAGATGGCTCCCGAGCAGCAGGTCAGGAGCGGGAAGTTCAGGGCTAGGGTGTTCGGCCGGCCCCGCAGCGCAGGTGGGGAGTGCAGTCAGCTCACCCATTGCTACGTGACGTCCTGTGCGGGACGCACAACATGCAAGCATGCGGCCAGCAAGACGGGGGCAGGGTCCACAGCCCCGTACCCGGCCCACTGGGCTCCAGGGCAGTCTCCCCGCTTCTCCCCAGGGTCTTCTCCACGCCTGCCCCTCCGTGTGGGTGGCTGCAGCACTGGCCAGAGCAAATGGCCACCCACCGGCGCTGCCCCCCGCTTCCACTGTGTCTAAGCCCTTGTTCTCAGGTTCTGAAAACTCCACCTCAGGCCCCATGTCATCACCTCCCGCCAAGTCAGAGTCCCTGAGATGCTGGCTGCCCCAGCCATAAGCTTCCCAACTGGCCAGTGAGGGCCAGGCCTCAGCCATTCCCAGAGCCCAGCCCACTCCACACCCTGGGGAGACTCCCAGGGGAGACGAAAACTAACTCCACGATATAGTCCTCCAGAAACAGAGCTCTTGGGCCTAGGCCGTGGTGGCCACTGCTCCCGCACTGTCCACCCAGAGCGAGTACCCCTGGCCAGAGAAGGCGCCTCTGCTGGCCTCATGGGCCCCCAGGAGGCCACAGCCCACCAGGCAGACACCCTCAGGGCCGGGTGCCCAGGGCCATGCAGGTTAAGGGAACACGCAGAGCCGAGGGGAGCCTGCGGTCAGGCCCTCTGACCCAGTGCCCTGGGCTCTCAGGCAGGGGTCTGAGCATCCCCGCCCACCACCCTGCTGTGGGCACTTACGTTGGGGGAGGGCTCCAGCATGTTGTCGCCATGCCAGCCAGAGATGGGCACGAAGGGCACCGTGGCGGGGTTGTATCCAATCTTCTTGATGTAGGCGCTGACCTCCTTGACGATCTCGTCATAGCGCTTCTCGCTGTAGGCAGGCTCCGTGGAGTCCATCTTGTTGACCCCCACGATGAGCTGCTTCACGCCCAGCGTGTAGGCCAGCAGCGCGTGCTCGCGGGTCTGCCCGTTCTTGGAGATGCCCGCCTCGAACTCGCCCACTCCTGCAGCCACAATCAGCACCGCGCAGTCCGCCTGCCCAGCAGGTCAGGCGCAGTAAGCCCAGGCCCCGCCTCGCACCGGGCCCGCCAAGCAGTGCTAGAGGGACCCAGGCAGTCAGGCCCCGATGGGCCCTGGGGGGTCCAGACCTCAGGGGCGGCACAGGGGCTCGCCCATCTGTGCAAATGGCCTGGCAGTGTCTGGTTGTCCAAGTCTGTCTGCAAAGGTGGCCCTGACAGTGGCTAGCAGTCCTTATGGGCACCTCTGCCTAGCTGAGATGATGAGGCACTTAATCAGTTCTTTGAGGGATTCTGTGCCAGGTGTGTGTGAGGCTATTATGCCCTGGCAAGGAAGCAGAGGAAACCCAACTACCCCTCAAGGCCCCCAGGGACCCCAGGTATCTACTGAATGGGTGCTCCTGTCCACCTCTGGTGCCCCCTTGGCCCTCTGTGGCCCTGCCCACCTGGGACGTGCCGGTGATCATGTTCTTGATGAAGTCCCGGTGGCCGGGGGCATCAATGATGGTGATGTAGTACTTGGTGGTCTCGAACTTCCAGAGGGAGATGTCGATGGTGATGCCACGCTCCCGCTCTGCCTTCAGTTTGTCCAGCACCCAGGCGTACTTGAAGGAGCCCTTCCCCATCTGGAGGGGTGTGGCATGGCTCAGGGAGGGGCCTGGGACTCAGCCAGCTGGTCAGAGGGGCCCCCTGGACCATGGCAGATGTCACAGCAGAGAGGCCTGGGTGACAGCCTCCCTCGCTCCCACTGGGACCCTAGGACTCTGAGCCCATCTCTGCGATGAGGGAGCCAGATGCACGGACCTCTGAGTAAACACCCAGACCTCAGCCCTGCCATCCTATGTCCCCGGGTCTGGCCTCTGCCACCTCGATGCTTGCCGTTTGAATGTCCACCAGTAGGTGGCGCAAGGGCCTGGGAGTCAGGCCTGCAGAGAAGCCCCCTGGCGATTTCAACCCCTCCCCTGGCTGAGGGCTCCCCTTTATCTGAAGCTGGCGACCCCCACACCCGCAGTCGCAGATCGCTGCGTCAGCCGCAGGCCTGCAACACCAACAGTGAAAGTGTCAAGCCAAAAATCCCTCTGTGATTTTTTTTTAAGACAAAAAAATAAAAAGGAAATTGGATGTGGTTGCATCGAAGGACCTGGCTTTCCAGCTCTTTCTACAGACAGGCAAGACTTCCAAGCAGCTCTGGACCCCTCCTCCCCGTCCTTGTCCCACCTGCAAATACCTGTGCCCAGCCCAGCCAGACCCGATGGGGGTCAGAGCTGCAGTTACTGCTGCCCTGCTGGGCTGAGCATGGACAGGGCTCTGCCCCCAGGGAGGCTGCCCAGCCAGGACCCAGAGGGGACCCAGCTAGACCCCAATCAGACATCCTGCAAACACCCACAGCCTCCCCCCAGTGCCAAACCCGCAGGGGAGGAGAGAGTGACGCAGCTTTTGGGCCCAGGCACGGAAGGAGGCAGCCCAGCACAAGGCCCCCGCCCCCCACTCAGCGAGGTCAGCCCAGGCCAGCAACTGACTCCTCCCGGGCCCTGGCCCCAGCCCCTCTGCCATCCAGGAGAGGACCCTAACAGCCCCCCAAAACGGGGCCTGTCTTCTCCCAGAGCCCAGGGGTGGGGGTAGGGGTCACAAAGAGCAGACTCCCACTCCGTGGCCACTTCCCACTCATGGGTCTCAGCCACTTGAGAGAAAGGAGGTCAATCACCGGGGCCCCTCTCATCCTCACCGGGCAACCAGGGCACCCCCCCAAAAAAAAATGCCACCCTGTACAAGCAACCCTCCCCTGCCCAAGCATGAGAAAATGGAGCTGATGGGCCGGGTGCCCATCAATGAGCTATTAATAGCCACCCTGAGTCGTGTGGCCCAGCCGTGGGACAAGTGAGGGCAGCAGTGCATACAGCCCCAGACCTCAGCCCTGGGGACACGGGAACCCCACCCTGCCCCAGGTCCTCGAGTCCAGTGTAGTAGAGAGCTCCAGAGCCTGCTGTGGCCCCGGGGAAGCAGAAATGCTGCATCCAGGCCATCTCCCCTGCCCTGGGGGACAGAGCCCGCAGGCCACCCCTCCCCCCAACACCGAGCACATCCCCCCCCCACCACCACTCCACCTGGACTCTCTGATATGTGGCCCTCACGTAGGATCCTTGAGGGCTCACGCCCTCTTCCCCTAGAGATGAGCCACGGCCGCGCCAGCCTGGCCTCCACGTGGGACCTGTCGTCTCAGTGGGGAAAGAGACAGGGGCCCCCACTCACCTCCGCCGCCTCCTTCTCAAACTTCTCGATGGTCCTCTTGTCGATGCCTCCGCACTTGTAGATGAGGTGGCCCGTCGTGGTGGACTTGCCCGAGTCCACGTGGCCAATGACCACGATGTTGATGTGGGTCTTCTCCTTGCCCATGCTGCCTGGGCTGGGGGGAGGGGCTGGAACGACCTGGGGTGCTGTGGCTCAGGATGAGGGGGCTGCCGGGCAGTGACTCTGTGGGTGGGGGGCGGGGAACAGACGACGGAGAGCCTCAGACAGAGGCCGGCAAAGACCCTGTCCTACACAGCTTTCGAGCACATCCTGCCTACACACACAGCCCAGGCACGTTCCCACACTTAGTGGGGAGGGAAGACCACCCCCAAGCCTGTGCCCGGCCCATTCGGGTCAGGTGGCGAGCCCCAACGGTTCAATCTGCGGTAAATACCTGGGTGCCGTGCCCACGCAGCCCGTCCCCCATGAAGAAGGTTAACCCCCCTCTGAAGAGATGGAGAAGCACCACACCGGGCGAACCCCATGACCAGTCAGGAGCCTGGTGATGAGTCACCCTGTCCCGCTCTCCAGGGCTCTGTCCCTGACGCTTGCTCCCTAGCAGGAGCCCTGGGCCCTCGCCTGCCCCACCCCCACCAGCAGAGCGGCTGCGGTGGAGAAGCGGTCAGTGCTCCCCACTCCTCTCCTCCAGCAGGGAGCGCGCCATCTTCCCCTCTTCCCCTCATCCCTGCCAGGCAGACTGGCACCAAGGAAGACAGGCTGGGCCAGAGCTCCCTAAAGGTGGTGGTGCCCAGATCAGGGGCCTAGAATAGCTTGGGCCCTCCCCGGATCGGGCAGGGGGCAGACAGCGGGGCAGGGAAGTGGGGTCCCGGCTCTGAAAGAGGAGAGAAGAATCTGGCCCTAGTAGCCAAGCTCAGCAAGTGCCAGACAGGGATGCCTGCTGGGGGGGCGGGGGGGAGAAGGGGCACCCCCCTTTCCCTCTGGTCACAAGCCCTGTCACAGCCCCTGCCTCATCCTGGAAGTCAGGGAAGAAATCCAGGCAGCCCAGGAGGAGACAGCTGTCTGGCGGAGGGAAAGCGGGCACCAACAGTGCGCCCCAGGGTGCAGACACCCCTAGGCCCACCCGGTGGGGGCAGGGTGGCAAGTGCCTCCCGGCTCTCACTGCCTCCCCCGCATGGGGCATCTCCAGCAGCCGCCAGCAAGCACGACCCCGCTCCAACCCCACAGGGCCCCAGCCGGTCCCAAGGTCACAGCAGCAGGGCGATCGCGCAGCCCAGAGACCAGTCCCCAGCCGCCGCCCCCGTATAAACAAGCGCCACCGCGGTGCCCCCACCCCAGCCCCGGTCGCCCGCAGGACCGAACCCCGACGCCGGGTCCGGGGCGTGCGGTGGCGGGCCAAAGCCCTGGGCGAGCGGCGCAGCCTCGCCGGGCGCCTCCCCGGCCCCTCCTGCTCCCAGGTCCGCTCCCCAGAGAGAGGACCCGCTGCGGAAAGCCGGGGACGGAGGCGAGACCCGGCGGCCGAGCGTCCTTACCCAGAGCGAGGTCTCAGCCAGAGGGACTGGCGGCGCCGGCGCCGGCGGTTTTATCTCTCCGGGAGGGGGTCCACCTATTGACGGAGCCGGCGCAGTGCACCGCGCCCCTGCAGTACGGCAATGCGGTACCGGCGGGGGCGGGGGCGGGGGCGGGCGGGGCCGGGCGCGGACGCGGGGACGCGGGGACGCGGGGATGCGGGGACGGCGGGCCGCGGGCGCGCGCGGGCGCGGCAGGGACGCGACAGGAAGATGCGGCGGGGAGCGAACGACAAAGGCGCGGACGCACCCGGAGGGCGCGCAGCAGGCAGGGAGGCGCGGAGAGCAGCGAGGGGGGCAGGGGAGGGAGACGGAGAGAAGGGCGGCGACGGGAGAGAAACAGCCAGCGACGGAGGGCAGGTGAAGCTCAGTGGCCAGGCTCAGGCACCCCTGGACAGAGGAGAGGTGGACAGAGAGCAAGACAGAAAGGCACTCCCGATGCGGAGGGAGGTCTCTGGCCATGGGGCCGGCCCCAGGTACCGGAAAACGCAGGTGGGGACAGGGTAGGAGCAGGTAAGGCCTCATCCAGGAGGGGGCAGGGACTGAGGTCAGGGTCTGGACCGTAGTCCTGGCCTGCATCTCCCAGGGCCAGGCCTGGCCCTACATGTGGTTGGTGCCTGATGAAGTAACCAGCCTGCTGTGCCTCCTCGGTGCGGCCTCGCAGACCAGGGCCTTCCTTCCCCCTTGAGACCGGGGAGTCTGCTTGCTTCCAGGCCTCCCGTGCCTGGGTGTCTGCCACATGGGCTCACCCTGTGTGCCCCCAGTCTGGCCCCATGGTACGGGCTGAAAATGGTGTGTCCGGGGTCCCCCCAGCTCAGCTGACTGGCCTGAGGCTCTTAAGCAGATCCACCTCTACCACCATCCCTCCGAGGCTTCTGGAAAGGACTGTTTTCCACCCTGGGCCTCTCTCCATGCAGGGAACGCTCCAGGCCTGTTCCCAGAGCCCACCAGCACCTTCCAGGTGCCCTGGCGTGCACGAGTGGGCAGGAGCCCCCAGGGGAGCAGAGCTCCCGGCTGTGGCCCCTGTAGCTTACCCTCGCTCAGGGCCCCAGTGGGGTCAGAGCCCCAGGCCACAGACGGGGGACCTCTGAGTGTCCTGGGAAGACTAGGGCAACAGCCAAAATGGGTTTTAAGGGGAGAGATGGGGAAGCCATGTGTTGTGTGAAAACCAAGCCTCTCCGCCCCTTAGTACCTATACCCAAGGCCTTGTCTTCCCTCTTCCGGCCACCACTCCTGTCTTACTCATCTTAATAACTGCAAGGTCTGGGAGAAGGTCAAGCAAGGTCTTAAGAAACATGTGTTGAGTGGGTGAGAGCAGGGGCCTAGTGCCAAGCTCCTTGCACAGGGGCAGTGGCTGAGAGAGCCCTCGGAGATAGGACCCTCAGAGGTCAGGAGGTTAAAGGGGGCCCAGCGCGGTGGTTGGGGGCAAAGCAGAGCTCCCCAACTGATGGGGGAAGTCTCTTAGGGAGGGAACAGGCCCTCCCACTGGGCTGTGGGGAGGGGGACCCGCCCCACAGGGCCAAGGTCTGCACCCACAGACAGACCCACAGACAGGCAGACCGGCCCTTTCAGGCGGGGGGGGGGTGGGCCTCACAGATGACTCCGGGCACCTCCAAGTGCTGCTGATACCATCAAGCAGGAGCCAGGAATTAAAAATAAACTCCTGGCGAGAAATGGAGACCCACCCCACCCCTGCCCAGCTGCCCTCTATATTTAATGCGTCCGTCCGCCTGAAGGTTAGCAGGGGTTTGGGAGACATCGGGATTGGCGGAAACAGGGACGGGCCAAGCCAAGGCTGCAGGAGGCCCAGGTCCCTGGAGATGCCCACCCCCACTTCCCCGGGGGGGCCGCCGGCACCCAGGACCCCGGGCTCCCTCACCAGGTCTGAGCTGCGCACCTACTCCTGACTCACCCGGCGCTGTCAGCCTGGCGGGAACCGAATCACAGCAGGAGCCCCGTGCCTGTGCCGGGAGGCCATGCTGCGGGGGCGGTGGCTACTGCTGGCAGGAGGCAGTGCATCCTCCCTGAAGGCCCTACATGCTGACCCCAGGGGGGTCTCAGGTGGCTTTTCCAAAGTGCTTCTGTGTCCCCAGGATGTACCCCATGCACCTGCAGCTGGGCACCCTGGGCGAGGAGGCAACACTCGAGTTCTCTCTGACAGTGAGACTCCATAACACACCAGCAGTGCTGGATGAGTCCATTCCACTGCAGAGTCCCCGCAACTAACAACTACCCGCTGTTGCATAGTATTTAATAACTACAGATCTTCGAACAGGACTGAATACTAACTACTAAATAGGCCCAGGCACCCAGGCGCCAGCCTTGTGAGTTCATCAAGTGCTGGGCGGGGCCGCCAGGCAGCAGAGCACCCGTTGACCAAGAGTCAGCTGGGCACAGACAGGCAAGCCACAGTGCCCAAGGTCACACAGCAAGGAGAGCAGGGCCTGCGGTCAGCCGGGAAGGCCTGGGTCCGGCCGGTGTTACTTCTGGGCAGAGCCAGCCAGCTGGTTCCCACTGGAGCTCCCCCTCCCCCTCGTCGGGCTTGCCGTGCCTCCGCCACCTCCCCCCAAATCCAGCCTCTAGTCACCATGGCCCCCGTAACAGCCCAGGGGTTGGTTTGGGGGGGGCGGGGAGGAGGAGCAAAGAAGAGGCCACCAGCCTGGCGCAGCCTCACAGCGCATCTCCGTCCCCTCCCGTGGCCCCCAGCCGCCCCCAGTCGTGGGCTGTTTGGGGAGACACAGGCAGCCCCCACTTTGGCTGGCTGAGGCCTCATGAGCCTGGGGAAAGAGGATCCAGCTAAAATTAACCGTTATCAAGCTGTCGGCCTGGAAATAAACCCTCCTCCTATTGGCTGCCGGTGATGTCACTGCTGGGTTAATAATAACCTGCGAATGCATAACTGACCACCTGTGCATGTGCCTTCCTGCGGCGCCAAGGCCGGTGGTCACCCTGGTAGCTGGTGCCCAGGCAGTGGCTTTGGGGCAGGATGGGGGTCAGGGCTGAGCGCACCCTCCAGAATGACCTCAACTCCTGGCATTGGGCCACAGGCTTCGGTCGGACCCGGGACTTCCGGTGCTCACCCTCACGTGCGGGGTCACGGGCATCTCTCTCCCAGCCTCCCTGGGCAGCAGGACCCTGGACAGCGTTGGGGTCAAGATCCGCCCGCCCCCCGCGCCCAAGGCTGGAAACCGGGGCTGAGCTGCCCCTGAGGCCGCACATTAGGTGGTGTCCTTGGCGAGGACAACTCTCGACTGCGGAGCTCTCCTCAGAAAAGCGAGATGGTGGCCCCAAGTCAGAGAAGTAGGGGCCGGAGGGGGCGGGGGGAGGGGCCTGGGAGCCGGGACCGCGGGGCCTGGGGGCGGGGCCTGGGCGGGGCTGGAGGGGCGGCGGCGGGCGGGCTGCTTGCACCCCAGTGAGACCCCAGGGCTAGGTAGGGGCCCCACCGGACGGCCAGCCCTGTGCTGGGCCCCCGGGCCGTGTGCAACGGGGCCGGGGGTGACCTACTAGGCAATCCAGACGCCCTAACAATCCACCTTAAAGAACCCAGCGTGCCTGGAGGGTGTGAGGCCATCAGTCAGCCAGGGAAGCCCCGAGGGGGAGGGGGGGCGCAGCCCCTCAGAGAAGGGAAGTTCAGCCGGGCCTGCCCTACCCGCCGCCCGCGGCCCGCGAGCTCCCTGGGGCCCCGGGCCCCCAGCGGCGCAGCTGGGCGCTGTTGCCATGGCGAAGGAGCAGGCAGCTCCCCGAGCCCTTAGTGTCACCGGTGCTTGGGAGGGCAGCTTCCTGCCACCGCTGGGGAAAGGGTCTGCCAGCCTTTGCCCTCTGAGCCCCCCAGAGTCCAGGGCTCCAGCCTGGCACCAGGAGAAGGGGGCCCAGCCGCCCCCCATTTGGTCCATGGCAGTTTGGGAGAGCCCAGGGGACAGGGCAGCCTCTCTGGCCAAGAAGAGGCAGGCCCGCTGCTGGGGCCCAGAGAAGAGGGAGCCCCTGGAGAGGGTCTGCAGGCCCACTGCGCACCCCTTGGCGGTGCTCAGTTCAAGGAGGAGCATCTCCAGGTGGACTGCCCTGGGGACCCCGAAGCTCCTTGGCAACTCTGCGCCTGTGTTTTCACCTCACAGTAAAGCAACCCCTGGGGGCAGGCAATTGGGAATACCCACCCCCAGAGCAGGAGGCCCCGTGGGGGTCGAGAGGTGACCGGCACAGGCGGCTGCCGTGGCATCATCCTCCCCACCAGCGGTGGAGGCCCAGAGCCTCCCCTACCCCAGGGGAGACCCCACCTCCATATCACCAAGACCGAGGAGGCTGGTCCTTGGCCAGGGCAAAGACTGGGGGGGGCTGTCCCTGGAAATACTTAGAGACAAGTGCACAAATTACAAATGTACCTGGCCACCCAGATGGAGAAACAGAACACTCCCTCATGCCCTCAGAGGGGACCACTGTCCTGACTTCTTAGACCAGAGATCACGTTGTCTGCTCTCAGACTTCACATACATGGTCTACACGGTAGTTGTTTCTTCTCACTGCTGTTCAGGGTTCTGCATCCAGTGTCGCACCGGGACAAAGTCACTGTGTGCTGCTGTATGTGAATTTGTGCAAGGACACCACTGAGGTTCTGAGCCACAGGTGTGTCCAGTCATTTGTTCACCACCTCTTGGCTCTAAACTCCCACTTCAATACCTGCTCTGTGATGACGGACAGAATTACTCAAAGTATTTCTGCTTTACAGTGAGCAGATCATTCTGTAGGGCAGGTGATGAGGATAAATTCACAGCTGAAAAAAAAATTAATTGATAGCTGGCTTTTTTTCTTTGCTGGTATGAGGAAATTCTATTTCTTTTTTTTTTTTTAATTTTTTTATGTTTTTTTTATTTATTTCTAGGAGAGAGAGAGAGACAGCGTGAGCAGGGGAGGGTCAGAGAGAGAGGGAGTCACAGACCGAAAGAAGCTCCAGGCTCCGAGCTGGCAGTCAGCACAGAGCCCAACGTGGGGCTCGAACCCACGAACCGCGAGATCATGACCTGAGCGAAAGTCGGACGCTTAGCCGACTAAGCCACCCAGGCGCCCCGAGGAAATTCTATTTCTTTGCACATCTAGTAATTTTTTGCTGAATACTGAACATTCCGTAAAGACTCTGGATTCTGTTATCTTCCTCTGAAGAGTGTTAGTTCTTATTTTTGCAGCCATTCAGTCAATGGACCTCCATGGGCTTGTTTTCATGCTTTTTGGTGTTGATCTGTGGAACACCCAACATGACTTCCCTCAGACTGATAAGATTCAACTTTCAATCTTGGTCTTCCAGCTCTTCATGAGGGTCAGCTTTAACTTTTCTTAGATGGTCCTAGAGTAGACATTACTGTAGGTGCTACTCTTCCCCCCTCTCTCTCTTTTAATGTTTATTTTTGAGAGGGACAGAGCATGAGCGGGAAGGGGCCGAGAGAGAGACGGAGACACAGAATCCGGACCAGGCTCCAGTCTCTGAGCTGTCGGCACAGAGCCCAGCACAGGGCTTGACCTCAAGAACTGCAAGATCATGATCTGAGCCATAGCTGACTGAGTCACCCAGGAACCCCATCTCTCTCTCTCTCTCTCTTAAGTTTTATTCATTTAAGTAATCTCTATACCCAACATAAGGCTCGAACTCATGACCATTAGATCAGGAGTTGTGTGCTCCTCCAACTGAGCCAGCTGGATGCCCCTGTAGTCTTTTCTCTTAAAGAAATAGGTCAGAAGGTTACTTTGCCCCGGCCAGGTCCAGATGCCAGTGCTGCCCAGCATGGCTTGTCTTCTGATATTTTGGCTCCATTGCCAACTCATCCCCCCAGGATTCAGACCCTGGAATAGCTTCTTCCCCCCTTGAGTGCAGAAAGAGCTGTGGCTTGCACCCAGCCAACAGAACACCGTAAAGGTGGCGAGCTATAACTCTCTTACTTGGCCTACGTTATTTAAGACTCTGTCTTGACAGATGGATGGGATCGAGGGATTCTCTTCCTGGCCTTGAACAAGTGAGCTACCAGGATGTGAGAAGGCCTGTAAGGGGCCACAGGTCAAGGAACTGGCAGCCCCTAAGAGCTGTGAGTGGCCTCCAACTGTCCAGCAAAAGAAAGCAGCCGTGTGACCTTAGAAGAGGACCCCGAGACTCGTAAGGAAACTGACAGCTTGACTGCACACCTCTGAAGCCCTGAGCGGAGGGCCCAGGGGAGCTGGGCCTGGTCTCCTGCCCAGGATGCTGGGCATCTATAATAAATGCATGTTTGTTTGTTTAACAGTTTTTTAAAAGTTTGTTTGTGTTTGAGAGAGGGAGACAGAGCATGAACAGGGGAGGGGCAGAGAGAGAGGGAGACACAGACTCTGAAGCAGCTCCAGGCTCTGAGCTGTCAGCACAGAGCCCGAAGCGGGGCTCAAACTCACAAACTGCAAGATCACGACCTGAGCCGAGGTTGGTGCATAGCCGACTGAGCCACCCAGGTGCCCCAATAAACGCATGTTTTTTAAACCCACTAATCCTGTGATCATTTGTTATGCAGCAATAGATAACTAGTACACAGACCATAGTGTCCGCTCTCTGTAAGCCCCCCAGGGGCCTCCCCAGCCCGAAGCCACAGACCTGAGCCACAGCACGTGTGCTTCCATAGACCCTGAGCCGCTCCCCACGCTTCAGCCGGCCTGCGCTCCAGGCTTGGCCCCTGAGCCCACTTGGATGACCCTGTGAGCATGAGTCCACTGAGCCCGCTTTCCTCCACCCGCAGCCCAGCTCCCTGGCCCCCCCGCCCTGGGCAGCTGCGCCACGGCTGGTCTGGTGCCACACTTGCTCATGGAAACAGGGCTGGCCTACCACCTGCTGCTTTGCTGCGGTCGGAATCAGAAGTAGGTTCTGCACGTGTCCACTTTTGATTCTGAAATCACTGCAAACTTAGAGAAACGTTGCAAGAGTGGTGCCCAAGCGTCGGGCGCAGCCGATGGTTGACGCCCGCCCATCTGCATTATTATGCTCCATGTGTGTCTATGCATATTGTTTTTTCCCAGGCACGTGTGAAGAGGTTGCATAAACTGCCACCTGTAGGCCTCAGTACCGAGTGTGTACTTCCGAATGACACAGCACTTCAGTCTACAACCCTTGTTCCGATGGCCCAGCTACTCCAGTGGCTCTTCCAGGTCCCAGACGGCTCGCCAGTTTCCCAAGTCGGGTGTCCCGACCCCCTTTAATTGGAAATAGTTCCTCTACCATTTGTGTCTTTTATGACACTGACATGAGTTGAGGCCAGTTGCTTTGAAGAGTTCCCTCTTCTGGAGCTTATGATGTCTCTGCATGAATGAATTCAAGTTTTATTTTTCTGGTGGGAACACCCGCCGAGCAGCACAAATTCCCCCCCAACGCATCCGAAGGGGCGCTGCTTGGCGTCGTTGCCAGTGACGTCATCCCTGACCACTCAGCGTCGTGGCTGCTAGCTTTTCCTATAGCAAAGTTAATTTTCCCTTGTAAGTATGAGCTAATAATGAGGGTGCACCTTGCATTGTGTAGATACCCTGTTTCTCATTGAAATCTTCTCCCAACCCAGCGCTCATTGAGGACTCTTACCCAAATCAAGTTTTCCGATGGAGGCTGTGCTTTTTTAATTATTGTTTGTTTTGATCTTTTTAAGTTGTCACACAGAAAATGGCCTCTCTGGGGAGAGTTGGATGACTGTTAGCACACGCACAGACGACTGCAGCCACGTGGGTCAGGACGCAGACTGTCCCATCCCCCAGAACTCTCCTCCACGTTCTCCCTTTGTGCTCAGATGGTGCTTGCGCCCGGCAGCCGCTGACCTGCTCCCCATCACGGTGGCTTTGTCTCGGGAAGGCCGATGAACGGAAGTATACACTGTGTCCCTTTTGGGCGGGGACCTTGGAAGTTCACCCAGGTTCATTCCTTTTTATGGATGGGTACTTGTCCGCGTATGGGGAGACCACAGGCTACCTGTCCGCTCCTCCCCTGAATCACATCTGGGTTGCCTGCAGTTCAGGCAGTTATGAATAAATCTGCCGTCGACATTTGTACACAAGTTTTTGTGTGAACATGTTTGGGTTTCTCTGGGACAAATGCCGGGAGTAGGGGCTGCTGGGTCATGTGACAGGTGTTTGTTTAACCTTTTAAGAAACTGCCAGACTAGGGGCACCTGGGGGCTCAGTCAGCTGAGTGTCCAACTTCAGCTCAGATCATGATCACGTGGTTCGTGAGATGGAGCCCCACCTCGGGCTCGGTGCTGACAGCTCGGAGCCTGGAGCTGCTTCAGATTCTGTGTCTCCCTCTCTTTCTGCCCCTCCCCTGCTCACGCTCTGTCTCTATCAAAAATAAATAAATGTTACAAAATAAAATACAAACCAAAAAATAGATAGATAAATGTTACAAAAAGTTTTTAAATTCTTTGTTAGATATTCAATTTGCAAATATTCCCTCCCTGTGGGTGGCTTGTGCTGTTGTTCGTGCATCATTCCACAACACAAAATTTTCCATTTTGATAAAATCCAGTTCATCAGTAATTTTCTTATATGGATCATACTTTTTGTGCTTTTGACACTGGCTAACCCCAGATCACAAAGGTTTTCTCCCATATTTTCCTCCAGAGCTGTGTGGTTCTACATGTCACACTCAGAGATATTACCCATTTTGAGTTCATTTTTATAGAAGGGGTGAGATTTAGGTCAGTGTTATTTTTCTTGCATAAGGATGTCCTGTTCTCCCAGCAGCACCTATTGAAAAAATTACACTTTCTCTGTCGAATTGCTTTTGCATCTTCTCAAAACACAGTTGGGCATGTGCGTGGGAGAGCTGTTTCTGGACTCTCTTCCGTCACATTGATTTATGTCCATGTCTTTACCAAGGCCACACGACCCGATTATTATAGTCTTAGAGCAACTGCTAACCTCGGGCAGCGTGTGGAAAGCACGGGCTCTTCAACAAATGGCACTGTGATAACTGGATAAACACACATGAAGGAATGAATTTGGACCCCTACCTCGTGCCGTATACAAAAATTAATTCAAAATGGATCAAAGGCCTGATAAAACTATAAAACTGTTAGAAGAAAACACAGGGGTAAATCTTCATGACCTTGGGATTGGGCAGTGTTTTCTTAGATGTGGCTCCAAATACATGGGCAACAAAACAGTAAGTAAACCAGACTTCAAAATTTTTAGCTTCTGTGCAAAAAAAAGGACACTATTAAGAAAGGGAAAAATACAACCTACAAAATAGGAGAAAATATTTACAGATCATGTTAGATAAGGGTCTAGTATCAGGATATATAAGGAACTCTTACAACTCAATTTAATAATGGACGGGGTGGGGGCGCACCTGGGTGGCTCAGTCGGTTAAGCATCCAACTTCAACTCAAGTCATGATCTCACAATTCATGGGTTCGAGCCCCACGTCGGGCTCTGTGCTGACAGCTCGGAGCCTGGAGCCTGTCTTGGATTCTGTGACTCCCTCTCTCTCTGATCCTCCCCTGCTCACGCTGTCTCTCTCTCTCCTAGAAATAAATAAAACATTAAAAATTTTTTAAAAAATGAATAACCATTAAAGATCATGTCTAACTTTCACCGCTATGTGCTCAGTGCTGGTCTAAGTGTTTACATGATGCGTCTTGACCTCAAAATAGCTCTATGAGTCAGGCTCTCCCCATCTCACAGGTAAGAAAACGGGAGTAGCGGTGGGGCTTGCTGCTCCCCAGGACATCGTCCGGCCACACAAAGTGCCCCCGCATAGCAGGTGTTCATCAAATATCAGTCAATAGTTTTATTTTCTGCTGCAAGTGGTGACGTCGCCTACAGAGGTGCCAGCGCGTGCTGGAGAAGCCGCCTGGGACACGAGAGGCTGGGGCTGGGCTGCTGTGCTCCCAGGGGACCCTCACTCCCCAGGAGTCGGCGGAGCCTGGAGGGCCCCAGCCCTGGCCTCCAGCTTCCGTACAAGTCTTGTGTCAGTGCAAACACCTGCGGCCAGAGGGACAATCCATGCACTGGAACAGCCACAGTGCCCAGTTAGCAGCCGGTCCCCACGGAACACCTGTCGGGGTGGCACGTCATCACTCTTACCTCCCACTCTACCCGGAAGGGAGTAGAGGCTCCAGAAGGTCACGTGGCTGCTACAAAGTTGGGACTCCAGCCCCCCTCCCAGCAGCTCCAGGGCCCGCGCCTTTCCCTGCCACCCTGCAGGAGCCTGGTGGAGCCTGGTGTCCAGAGACGTCCCCCCTGTGTGACCAGCCTGCACAGCACGCACGTCTCTGCCCCACTGAATGATGTTCCTGTTGCCATTTCCCCAATGGCCGGAGGCTCAGGTGCTATGTCCCAACACGGAACTCAGCCCTGCACACCTGGAGCACATGACAATCCCCCACCGTCCCCTCAGTGCCCACGGAAGGGAAGGGTGACCTGCCCAAGCTCGGGCCCCGCATCCCAGATACTGAGCAGCCAGCTGGGTGGGGTCCTGCTGCCAGCAGCAGGTGGAGGCAGATTCCACCCCCAGCTCACACCCCAGAGCTGGGGTCTCCCCCATGTTGGAGCCATGCCTGGGGGCTGGCCTGCAGGACAGTGACCCTTACTCCTCCTCTCAGTGCCTCGGAGGACACCAGCTGGCTGCACAGCCCGCCTCAGGCCATCCCACGCAGTCCGCGCACAGGCTGGGCATGTGCCAGTGGCGGTGGGTCCTCACGCTAACCCGGATGCCCCACCACCCCCCTTCTGGGTCCCTGACACTTACTAAGGGGACGGACTGGCCGAGCCCCCACCCTCCTGGCTTAGTAAATGCAGTTTCTATGTTTACACTTTAAAGATAAGACACATCTCCTTTCAGACTTTCTGTTCTCGAAGATGATGGTGAGGTTGGGGATGTGTCGGGCTGGCCCAGCGTGCAGCTGGAGGGTGGCCTGGGGACATGGGAGATGCACCCCTCCTGGGAAGGCCTCGCTGGGGTGGTCAGCACACAGCCTCCACTGCTGGCTCCCGCAGGGCTGGTCTCCACCGCAGGCCACAGAGCCGCCTTCCTCGGGATCCTCCCCAGGCCTCTGCACCGGGTCTGAGTAGGGTGGGGGCCAGTGCGGGTCACCCCTGTCCCTTCTCACTCCAAGGCTCCGCACTGACCTCGCTGCCCCTCAGGTCCCCACCCAACATGCAGCCTGCATCTCAGTCTCCATCTCGTTTCTGCTCCCGAGAGCCTGGCCTAAGACACTCCTACAAGAGGGAGCCCAGAGGGGAGGCGGCCACAGCCAGGTGGGGGCCAAGTGCCCTGCCTGCCCAGGCCCCAGACACGGCCTATCTTAGAGTGACCCTCGGGCACGGCTGGGATTGCCCTCAGCCCTGGAGGGGGCTCACTGGCTCTGCCCGGCATCCACACCCGGCACATGTCTGCACCCAGCCAGGAGGAGGGGAGTTATGTGGCCTGAGGAAGGGCCTGGCTGGCTGGAGCTAGAGGGTCAGTATGAACAGAACCAAATCTAATAAATCGAAGTGAAGAGCACCAAATGCACTGTGACTGTGTGGTTGTATGACAGGCCTCACGCGGGAAAGTGGCAGACAGTGTCAGGAGGTCGCAGCTCCAGGCCACAGAGGCCCCACCTGAGCATTGCTCCAGGCCTCTCCTGTGAGAGTCCGGAGCTTCTGTCCATGTGATGGAGGCAGCCCTGCCTGGGGATGGGGGGGGGGGTCTGGAGGAGGGGGTCGGGACCCCAACTGCCTGGCCCCTCTACAATTCTCCCAGGACCCTCTGCCCCCAGGTGCCCCCAAGAGACACAGGCCTGGCTTCCCTGGGGAGCAGCTGCATCAGGGCCCTCCCAGAGGCCGGGCACTGTTTATGAGCGCAGCCAAAGGAGGAGCTTCGAGGCCTCAGGGGCAGGGCCGCCCAGGCTGCAGGGCCTGGTGTGCCCACTCGGGAGAAGTCAGCAGGACATCTGGCCCGCTGTTTCCCACCAGGAGGCAGGCCGTAGCCCCCACCTCCCCGCAGCTCTAGCCCAGTGTGCGAGGGGTTCTGGGTCCAGGGCCTGTGCACCTCCCTGCCCTGGGGCTGTGACAGCAGGTTCTCAAGCTCGGGGACGGAGCCTGGGGAGAGCAGGGGCTCCCACTCACCCAGCTCTGCACACATAGGCTTCGCAGTACCACGCACACAGCAGGCTTCCCATAAGCTCTGGAGGAACAGGCAGACGTCTCGGCCAGGAAAGCAAACAGCGAGGTCAGCACCAGCCTCCAGCACCAAGCCCTCCCTGCAGAGGCCCGGGTGGCCCCTCTGCCCCCGGGAGCCCCAAGCTGGCCCTCTCCTTCCGGACAGCCCCCAGTTCCAGCTCTCTGATCAGAACCCCCAGGATGGGTCTGCCCCAGGGGTCCCAGCCTGTCTTCATCCTGCTCACACGGCTGTCTCCCCACCCTGGTGACTTCTCCTCAGCCCCTGCAGCACCCCAGGGTGGTATCAGCCTCTGCCACTGCCCCTCAACCCCAGCCGTGCCCCTTTTGAATGACCACCATGTCCAGGATTCAGAGCAGGCATCCACTGCCTCAGAGACTGTGGCCTGACCCCCCAGGTCTTGACCCCACTTTCTGGCCGTATGAGCTGTCCAAGGTGCTGGGCAGGCCCCTCAAGCTGGCCCCTCAAGTCCTGAAACCACAGTCCTATCGGAGGCATGTGTGAGACACACCACAAGACAGTCACACACTCAGCCACAGGTTTCAGGGACACAGGGGTCTAGGGCAGGAGCAGAGCCCTGTGACTGAGGGTTCTGGGCAAGCCTGGGTCTTACTAGAATGTTCCTCCGTCCTGCTATCCAGTACGCTGACCAATCTGCCTTATGAGTGACCCTCGGTGGCCCCAGTGAGCAGGCCCGGCTGCCTCCCCAGTCAGGGGCCCTGCTGTGGCCCTTCCCCTTCCCAGGGTCCACCAGCCGCCCCGCTCCTGCCCGGCAGCACTGAGCTGGGTCCCAGGGTGTCCCCGCTGGTCCCTCCTCCATCTCCACCTTCCTCGGACCCCAGCTTAAACCTGACACCCCTCTGCTGTCTCACCTCACCACATTGGGTCCCCCCGCCCTCCGGACTGGCCTTTCCACTCCTGTCTGGCTCAGCCATTTGCTCATAGTAGATATTCAACAAACCAATGTGCTGAGTGCCAGAACAGTGGATGGTCTGAGTCGGGCCCCATCTCTGTATTCTTAGGGGCACGAGAGACCCCCACCCCCAGCGTCCCTGCCTGGCTCTCTGTGTCTTTACTGTGCAGTGGATGCTGGCACTGTTGGTTTGCCCCACAGCACCCAGTACAGACCTGGCACCCAGCCACCTCAGCCACCTTTGTGAACCACAAAACACCAAATCTAACCAGGCTTCAAACCTACCAGGAGCTGCCCCTAGCTTGGGGGGGGCCTGGATGCTGCCGGTGCCCAGTTGTGCTTCTCAGGGAAGGATGAGTGAGGCAAAGGCACAGACACCCGGCAAGTTAGGGGGTGCACGCGGGCCTACTGAGGCAGGAGGGTGCTGTGGCCCGTTCCAGGCCAGCATGTGGTCAGGGGCTGGCACTGGAGCCTATGGCAGCGCCCCAGCATGGACCCCAGACAGCCACTAACCCGCTAACCTGACAGTGTGGCTCAAGGTGTGGTGAGTGTGAGGGTGAGGTGGAGGATGCCATACGTCCTTAACAATTAAATTTGAATTGCACTAAAGTCACACTTAGTTTATGATCCAGAATTAGCCTGAAGCCGGGAGAGGAAACCAAACTGGAGGCACTGGGAGTCAATGAGAGGGGAAGGTCACTGGCTGTGAGACAGGCTTGGGGGTTACAGTGACATGTGAGCAAGCTGACAGGTGCCAGGTGTCTCCTCCATACGTGTGATCCCGTTGATCCCTTGAGTGAGAGCCCCCAGAACTGCCAGCAGGTGACTGGCCCTCGGGGAAGAGAGGGTGAAGGGGGAGGAGCGGGCATTACCCAGACTGCAGCTCCTCTTACAGTGCGCTGGGCCACACCGCTGCCCGAGCCAGGTCCCGATCAGAAAGTCCGAAGCCTCGACCCCCACCCAGCCAGATAAAGGATCACATCCAGGGTCTGTCGGGTCCCTCTCCTCCAGAGGGCTTGACTTTCTGTCTGCTGAGTGAGAAGTCGGACTGAGGTCCAGAAATCCTGGAGGGGTCCTTGATGGGGTCTGAAGACGTGGAAGGCCTGACAGAAGGGGCTATGAGGTCTTCCTGGTTTCTCCCCAAGTTCCCCACAGACTTCTCAAGACCTTCCCAACCATCAGGGAAGAGAAGAGACTGCCCAGCCAGGGCCTAGAATGCAAGAAGCCGGGTTTGCCTCTCCCTGTAGAGGGAGGTCGCGGCTTGGGGCCTTTGAGAAGGAGCTGAGGGGCTGGGGGAGGACTGATTTCCACGACAGAAAAGGAAGTTGTCATCCCAATTGACAAACGAGGGTGTGGCAAGGCCCCAGACAGTTTGACAGCTCGGGAAACATTCTGGGGTTGCCCCAAACAGGGGGCCTGTGCTTCCTGCTCTGGGAGACATCTCTGGATGGCAGCTCTTTACCTCCACCCACTCAAATAAGCCCCCTTCCCTGGCCCTGCTGCCCTCCCACCCCCACTCTCCCCTGCAAGTTGTGCCTCACAAGCAGGGGGATGCTGGGGGTGCTGGCTGAAGCTGGAGGCCTGGGGTGTGGGCCCCAGAACCACCAGACTGCGAGGGGGACGCCCCGGAAGGGCCTTGTCTACTACGAGCCCAGCTGGAGGGCTCCGGCGGCAGGGAGCGGAGGCTGCTGGGGCCCCCGTCTGGTAGGAGGGGCGGGCACACACGGAGCAGAGGCCGCGGTCTGTCCCGAGACAGTGGGACCGGCCCCATCCCCAGGGGAGAAGGCTGGAGGAGAAAGGCACCGCGGAGGCGGGGCCTGCGCGTCCGCGTCCAGCGCCCCCACTGCCTTGGAAGGGCTGGAGAGGTCGAGACAGGTTGGAGCACCTGGGGTCCCGGAGTTTCTGCTCTTTGGACGGGAGAGTCTCTTTAGGGCAGGGGAGGTGGCAAGTCACGCACGGCTCCGGGACGGGGCACGGAGGTCATTTAACAGCTCCAGTCCCAGGCCAGGCCGAAACGGGCTTCCCAGGCGGGCCCAGACTGCACCGGCGCCGCCGCAGACCCGCGCTCGCTCCTCGGCCAGGCCGCGCGCCAGGCCACTGTGGGCGGGGCCGAACGGGGCTGGAGCGGCCCCGGGCCGAGCTCGGGGCGGGGCCTCGCAGAAGCGGGGTAGGGGAGCGGGAGGTGGGACTTGGACGAGCTGGGCGGGGCCAGACTCGGGGGCGGGGTCTCGACTGGCACCGCCCCCGTGACGCGAGCGCGGCTCCGCTGTACGGACGGGCGCGTCCGCGCGTGCGCACTCCGCGCGCGTTTCGGTCGCGGAGCGGCCTTTTGCGGTCGGCTCTGCAAATGGGCTCCGTCGCCTAGCGTCCCCGTCCCCGCCACCCGCGATCGCGCGCCGAGGCCCGCGAGGGGTTGCCGCCGAGGTGAGGACCCGGGCGGCCCGAGTGGGCGGCGGGAGATGGCCCCCGTGCGCCGCGGCCGGCGAGGCAGACCGACTGGCGGACGGAGGGCCGGACGGCCGGGGGCGCGGGGTGGGCTGGGGCCTGGCGGGCTGGGCAGGTGCCCGGAGCCCCGGGCCGGCGGCCTCGCGCACAGAGCGCCTTTGCTGCTCCCGCGCGGCCGGTTCGGGCCGGTTGGAGCCGCCCGCGCCCTGCGCGGCGAAAGGCGGTCGGGAGTTCCGGGCCCCGCCTCCGCTCGGTAAATAAACTCTGCGTCCCCGACCCGGGAGTCTGTGTGGGGGCGGGTCTCCCCAGTGGGCCCCGCCCGGCCGGCCCCTCCCGAAGGCCGGTGGGTGACCAGGGGGGCTCCCCGACCCCTGCGTGCGCAGGTTTCCACCAGCCCACAAGCGACAGCATGGCAGCCATCCCCTCCAGCGGCTCGCTCGTGGCCACCCACGACTATTACCGGCGTGAGTAAGCCCCCTCGCCCTCTGCCCTGCTGGTGGGAGGGGCGGGGGGGCGGGGCTCTGGCTCGGCCGCTGTGCGGCCCGCAAAGCCAGCGCTTGGCCTGGTGGACAGGGCAGGGGACTCGGTGCCCTGCAGAGCTGACCAGGCCTCTCTTCTCCAGGCCGCCTGGGTTCCACTTCCAGTAACAGCTCCTGCGGAAGTGCTGAGTATCCTGGGGAAGCCATCCCTCACCACCCCGGTGAGCTGAGCGCAGCGCCACTCCCCTTCGGTGGGGGACCCCATCGGAAGGGATCCCACCGGGAGTAGGCAGGGGCACCACCACCCTACTTTGCTTCTCTCAGGTCTCCCCAAGGCTGACCCAGGTCATTGGTGGGCAAGCTTCTTTTTCGGGAAGTCCATTCTCCCGTTCATGGCTACAGTGTTGGAGTCCCCAGAACGGTGAGTCCACATTCCTGCGGGCCAGCTTGGGAGGCGGGGACAGGTGGAACCCCCCTCTGACCCCAAGCTCTCCCCCAGCTCGGAATCTCCCCAGGCCTCCAGCGGCTCGATCCCCTGTGACCCGGCTCTGGAAGCCATGAGGAAGCAGCCTGATGGCCAGCCTGGCACAGCCAACACCGGGCCCCAGTCCTGAGTGGCCCCTGCCAGGCTTCAGGAGGCGCTGGGCTCATTAGAGCCCCTCCTCTTCTCTCTTCTCTCCCCCTCCCTTCTCCTCCCCTCCCCTTCTCTCTCCTCCTCACCCCTCCTCTCCCCTTATAGACTAGGTAGGCTGCAGCCAAGCAGAAGCACTTGGGTTCTTTTATATCAAAATAACAAAACACCAAAAAGGAAGTTAAGAGAACCCCACTCTTTACTATCCAAGCCACACGCAAGCCTTCCCGACACCCTGTAACAGTGTGCCTTGCACCAAGTGGAAAATAAACTCCAAGCAGCCAGTAACCCTGAGGGTGTGTGTGAACTGGGTGCCCCTGGGGCCTGTGGGAGAAGCCACTGAACACTGCTCAACCTCACTTCCTGCAGGGGTGGAGAGTTGGGCCTGTTCCCTGGGCCTTCCTGGGTTCCCTCGCTGGGGAGCCACCTCTCGGGTCTGGCCCAGGTTCACACGGGCAAGCCGCTACAGCAAATGTGGCACCTTGGACCTGAGAAGGGGCGGGGTGCCTGGAAGAGCAGGCAGTTCAGGACTTGGACAGGAAGCCTCCAGGGCAGCCACTGGGGTCCGGGCTCTGCCTGTGGGTTTGGGGGCCATCAGCTGGAGGGACCTGGTGCCCCTGGAAGGAACTTGGCAAGGCCCCCCTGCCCCTGACACCCTGGAGGGCGGTGAGGGGCCAGTAGCAGAGCTGTCCCAGCTGGGTGGTGCAGCTCATGGGGCCCTGCTGCCTCCAGGGGCCTTCCCGTGAGGGTGTTGTCTCTTCCTGTAGGACACCTGGGTAGGGTCCCCCGGCTCTGGGGGCGGGAACCCAAAACCAAGACTGAGTCGTAAGTGGTGTGGGGGCATTTCCGAGGGGCCTTCCCACCGCAGGTAACCAGGGTTTGGATAAACTCCAGCCCGGGACCTTAGGAGGGTGTGGCTTGTCATCCTCTGCCAGCCTCCGTGGGCAGGCATGATTGGTGAACTGTGTGTCCACACACCGTCAGTGGCCAGCAGAGATTGGCCCAGGTCTGTTGGTCAGGAGCGGGCAGCTTAGTGAGGGCGTGGATGTGGGCTTAGTATGAAGTTAGGGGCTCCACGGGCCTCTGAGGGAGCCCACCTGCCTCTTTGGCCACTCTGCCCCCGCTCTGTGCTATAAATGGTTCAGTCGAATCCAGGACATCCAGCGATGCTGATGGCTCTCTGGGGCCTCTGTCCTGTCTGCCCTCATGTCCAGGCAGCCTTCCCCAGGCTCCCCTGTCGTCCCACAGCCAGTGCTGTGGCCTGTAGGGGAGGCCTTCGTTCCCACCTCCTTAGACGGACCCAGAGTGGGGGGAGGTGTCCCAGAGGGTAGCCTGAGTGCTACCCAGACTCTGAGGCTAGTGTCCAGATGAGGCCCTGAGGGCTCCTCGTGGCAGCTGCTGACGGCCATAGCCCTGGGTAGCAGACAGCAGTGCCCTACCACCAAACAGCGTGTTTTCACAGAGTACTAGGAAGGCCGTGTCCCCCAAGTCAGGAGCTGCGCACAGGTCAGGTGACCCAGGGTGAGTCCAGCCAAAATCCAGGCCCTTGCCCCACCCGGGGAAGCTGAGCCCCGGGTCCTGGCTCAGCTGGTGGGCTTTGGGTCAGGACCAGGGACAGGCCCACTCCCTTTAGAGAGGAGAATGGCCAGACTGCTGGAGGGTTGGAGTTGGCCGTGGAGGGTCTGGGAGTCTTAGAAGGAACAGACGGGAGGAGTGGGCAGCCTTGGCGCCCAGACTGCAGGGGGCCTGCTTCCCCCGCCCCAGGGCACAGTGGGCCCCTGGCTGGGGAGTTCCATCCCCCAACTGTTCAGCCCAGTTCTGGGAACTTGTCTGCACCTTCGGTCTGCCTGTATCCATGATCTGAGGTCCAGGATGGCACGCAGGCCCCCCTTCACAGGGCCTGGTCTGGCGGCCTCAGAGGCAGCATCAGAGGGGGTGTCCCATTCAGAGCGGGTTCTCGTACCTGGTGACGCTGGAGAGCTTCTCCCGCAAGGCTTTGAAGCAGGGCCTCTGTTCGGGGTCCCTGTGCCAGCACGACAGCATCAGCTTGTAGGCAGTGGGTGGGCTCTCGGGGGGACAGGGCATGCGGTAGCCCGAGTCCACCCTTAGGAAGGCCTCATGGTTGGACATGCCTGTGGCGGAGCAGCAGGAGGGGCTGGAGGCGCTATCCCCTCACCCCTCACCCCCCCACCCTCCCCTGGCAGCCACCCTCCCAGAAGACTGCATCCCCTGCACCTTCCGGACACTGTCTGGAGGCTGCTCCAGGGAGGCAGCCTCCCACTCTGCCCACAGTTGGGGACATTGTTGGGGGCCAGTACCTGCATAGGGTATCTGACCCCTGCTGAAAATCTCGTGGAGGAGAATCCCAAAGGACCAGATGTCCGACTTGATGGAGTAGAGCCCTCGCGAGAGGGCCTCGGGGGCGGTCCACTTGTAGGGGATGTTGCGGTCGTGGGAAAGGTAGATGTCCTCCTGTAAGCAGAGATGTGCTGGGGTCCCGGGCTGCCTGCACCTTCGGACCCCGCAGCACGGACATGGGTGCTAGGGCTCGTGGTGCGCCCGAGCAGACTGGGCACGGGGGACGGCCGTCCTGACGCCGACGCCGCCATGGTTGCCGCTCGAGGGAGGTGGTGCTGACGCTTGGAGACAGGCAGGCCCTGGGCCACCGGCAGCACCGCTTTTCCCCAGATTCTGGGGATGAGGGGTGGGTGAGGGATCAGGAAGGGACAGGATACATGTGGCCCTCCCGGGTGGTGTCCCTGTCCCAGAGGTCGGCCAGCGTGAGCCCATGCGGGGACGGGGACTGTCACCGCAGAGCCCGTGGGTATGTTCAAACCGTGGGCTCCTAGAGACAGCCCAGACCACCTGGCCACCAAGTGAATGAGGGAGATGCTTTTCTAGAAGCATCCAGCTCACTATCAAGGACTACAGCATCAGGATATCGTCCCCTGAGTGAAGGGCCCTGAACTCTGGCCATCAGTGCTCCGCAAGGCCAGGGGTACTGAGGCTCGACCCGCCCTGAGCAGAGGGCTCCCCCCACAACGGGGGTTCTGGGCAAAGGGAGCCAGAGAGCCGGGCCCAGCACAGAAGGAGCCGCAGGGGACACAGACCAAAGTCAAGCAGTGGTGACGTAGGGTCCGCTCCGGGAGCAAACGTGAATTCTTGGCTTTCCGGAATTTGGAAACTTACCTCCGAGGGGGCATGTGATCACCTTAAGGAGTCTCATTAACTGTCAGAAGCATGACTGTCTATTTCTGTGTGGAGCCGTTGAGATGCTGTGTGTGTGTGTGTGTGGACCTGGGTCTAAACGTGGAAGGGGACACGACGGGGCTGGGGAGGCTTCGGGGGCTCGTTAACACCGTCCTGTCCACATTTGTCTCCAGAATCCTCCACGATAAACGTGTCTTCTGTGTGGGGGCAGGTGGGGGAGGTGCTGGCCCTGAGCTCACAAACCACTCCCAGCCTCTCGCCTCGCTGAACACGACACCATGAACAAGAGCAGGTGGCCCACCCACTCAGGAGCCCCCCCCCCGGGCCCCCCGTGTGGCTTCTCTTCCCTCCGGGCCCCCCGTGCGCTCTCACCAGCGTCTCTCCCTGCCCTTCCAGCTCCCAGCCCCTGGAGGCGCCTGCCCGGCCCATCAGGGCGCCGCTCTGGGCCCCAGCGTCCTGCCCCCGGCCTGCTCCGCACAGAGGGAGCCCTGCAGCCCCCCGGGCCCTACCTTGATGAGCCTGGCTAGCCCAAAATCCCCGACTTTGCAGAGGTTGTTTTCCCCCACAAGGATGTTCCTGGCGGCCAGGTCCCGGTGGATGTAGTTCTGTGATTCCAGGTAGCACATGCCCTCGGCCACTTGTGACGCAAGGTCCACCAGCTCCGAGATGGGCAGGGTTTTCTCATCAGAGTCTGCAGAGGCCACGGGAGGCCATGGTCAGAGGGCTGGGGCCAAGCCCTGCCTGCCACGGGCCCTGCGAGCTGCTGGGACAGAGGGCAGCTGCCTGACTTGAAACTGGAACAGTGCACCTGTCACGGCCCTTCTGGAAGGCCAAATGTGCTGCGCACATACCCTCTGCCCCACTCCCCGGTTTCCTTTCTGGGAATCTACACTAAAGGGATAGGAACGCAGACGGGTCAGCGCAGAGGAGCTCATCGTGACGTTATTCACACAACGGAAAACCTCCGAAAGTTTCAACAAGGGGACTCGCGAAACGGGCGCAGCTCAACGGTGCGGTCGTGCGCCAGCGGGGCCGCCAGCCTGGAGAAGGGTTCCTGACCGGGGAGGCCACCTGCCACGGCGCCGCAGCCAGTGGGCCGTGTTCACTTCGAGTGTTAAATGAGGTAACATCTTGTTACAGGTGATGAGGTGTGTGAGTCCGTGGGACAGTCGTGTAGGGTGTGTGTGTGTGTGTAGCGCGTGAGGCTGTGTACATGTGTGTGCAAGTGTACGTGCACACTCGGGCACCAGAGGAAGGGTCAGCACCTTACAGAAGGAAAAGCAGTGAGAACCGGGCCTGCATGTTCAGAAGCTGGAGGGGTGGACCAGCCACGCCGGCATTTGGACGCGGGGGTCTCAGCTAACTGGATGGAGGCCGTAGGGGCCGCCGTTCTTGTCTCGTGTACTTGCCCGATGGTACATTTACCGCAGGATATTTTAAATCATTTCTTAAGCAGGTGAGGTTGACAACTCCCTGGCTGTCCTGTCTCTGGTGTGGGGGCAATTTGGGTTTTCTTTTATTTTTTTCTTTTCATTAAAATTCTTGTTAATGTTTTATTTTTAAAGGAGAGAGAGAGAGGGAGGGAAGAAGAGTATGAGGGGGGGAGGGGCAGAGAGAAAGAGAGAGACAGAATCCGAAGCGGACTCCAGGCTCTGAGCTGTCAGCACAGAGCCCGATGTGGGGCTCGAACCCATGAACCATGAGATCATGGTTCTGAAGTCAGACGCCCAACGGACTGAGGCCACTTGGGTTTTCTCTTCTGTGCAAGTTTCCCGTGCCCCCCAAGCACATGTCACGTTTATCCCCAGGAAGGGGCCCCAATGCCGCCAGCGGCCTGCTCACCGCGCAGTAGCTCCAGCAGGCTCCCCTTGGGCATGAGCTCCGTGATGATGTACACGGGGTCCCCCACGGACACCACCGCGTACAGTGGCAGGATGTGCTTGTGCCGAAGCTGCTTCATGGCCCGAATCTCCGCCTGGAAGGCGTGCTGGTGCAGAAGGTCATCTGTGGGGGCAGGTGGCCTCCATGGGCGTGGGTGAGTGCCGGCCCCACCCCCCACCAGCTGCTCAGGACATTTGGGTGCCCTCCCCGGGGCGCCCCAGCACCACACCCAGGCGTCCAGTGAAGGCTGTGTCGTACCCACCACCTGCTTGCCACACGCCAGGCTCCATGTTTACACCCTGTCCCCAGCCTGATGTGGAGTGGATCACCCACCAGGCGTCCTCCCGTGCCCCTGGCCCGGAGTCCTGAAGTGGGGGGTGGAAACCTCTAGTGGGCTTACAGGAGATTTTAGATGAACCTTTTCAAATTTCTAGTGATCTGTTTATTTTAATGGCTTTCCACGTGTGTTACGAATTTAAAATTCCCTGGGGGGCTCGGTTGGTTAAGTGTCTGACTCTTGATTTTGGCTCAGGTCATGATCTCACGATTCAGGAGTTTGAGCCCCGCATTGGGCCCTGCGCTGATAGCACAGAGCCTGCTTGGGATTCTCAGTCTCCCTCACTCTCTGCACCTCCCTGCTTGCTCTCTAGATCTCTATCAAAATAAATTAAACTTAAAAAAAAAGAATTTAAAATTCTCTTTTAAAATAAATGCCTTTAGGGACGCCTGGGTGGCTCAGTCAGTCAAGTGTCTGACTTTGGCTCAGGTCATGATCTCGCGGTTCACAAGTTCAACCCCCGCGTTGTGCTCTGTGCTGACAGCTGGAACCTGGGGCTGCTTCAGATTCTGTCTCCCTCTCGCTGCCCCTCCCCTATCTGTGCCCTGTCTCTGTCTTTTTCTCAAAAACTAATGTACATAAAAACAGTTTCTCGTAAAACGCACTTAGGTAAAAACATGCATAGACAGGAAAACAGTTACCACACGGACGCTGGTGGAGACGGCACACGCGGTGCAGCAGGTAGCGCGGGGGCCTCGGGGGGACGTGACAGGCCGGCTGGCTTTCCCGTCCCATTCGCCCCCAGGAGCAAGGCCCGAACTCCCTGTTGGGGGCCTGGCCTGAGGCCCACTCACCTCGAGCAATCACCTTCATAGCCACGCGGACCTGGTCTTTCCAGAGCCCCTCGAAGACCTCCCCGAAGTAGCCGGACCCCAGCTTCCTGCAGAGCGTGAACTCCTCCCGTGGCCTCTCCCAGTCGTCGCAGTGGGGCAGGGGCTTGGGCTCATGCTGGAGGGACGGGCAGGGGTGCGTCCCCATCACCTAATCCGCCAACGCTGACCCCAGGATGGGGAGCTCCTGATCTATCCTCGGACACAGGGCAATGCCCTAAGGCCCAGCACGTGGCCAGGCTTTCCCAGGAGCTGTCCTCAGAGTGGTCGCCCCCCGCCCTGAGCTGCAGACACCCTCACCTGCCCACTCGAAGCCAGTGACGTTGGCCTGAGTGCCAGTCACACAGAGCTCTTGTCCCCAGGCTCCCACGGGCCCAGAGAGGCTCTCAGGAGCACAGGCCTCCCGCTGGCCTGGGGGTGAGGGCGACCCAGCAAAGGAAGGCACGGCCCTGCCCCCACACGCTGCTCTGCAGGAACGCGGCTTCTGAGAGGCGAGTCCCTGGGGCCGGGTCCTCTGCGCCCCCTCCACGCACGTCAGTGAGGAGAGAGGGCGGGGGGCGGGGGCGGCAGGTGCGGGCAGCCCTACCTTCCAGCAGGGCACGGTGAGCCGCAGGCCATGGGACAGGCTCTGGGCTTTGTGGTGGTCCAGGAGCTTGGACAGGCTGGGGAAGGACGCGGCCTCGCTGAGGTGCAGCCGGCCAGCACGGCTCCAGATCCGGTAGTGTCGCACCCCCTGGCCGTCCCGCACTGGGGCGTGGGGAGGGCGGGCGCAGGCGGGGGCGCGTGTGAGCGAGCGCCCGCCACCTCGGGCCCCTCCCCAGAGGCTCTCGCGGGCTGGGCACCCTGGCCCCGGCACTCCCAGCAGCGACGTGAGAAAACCCCGCCCCAGGACCGCAGGGACAAGCCGCCCTGGACGGCCGAGTGTCCGCCCACCGGGGGGAGGTCCTGGACGTGGCAGGCAGAGAGGCGCAGTCCAGTGGGGCTGGGTTTGGGGGCAAGGAGCCCCAGAGTCAAGTGCATGGGGACCACAGAGTGGGGAGAAGGGCCGGGGAGGCCATACCTGAGAGAACGTAGTCGGCGCCCGGCTTTTCGCTGACCCTGACCAGGAAGGCCCCTTCCGCGTTGCCCTCCGCCTGCAGCCTGTGCAGGGCTTCGGAGCGGGAGATGTGGCCAAAAAACCACCTGTGGGGGGGGGGGGGGGCCGGGGCACTGACCTTCGTCCCCTGCCCTCTCTGACCTTGCCTCCTCCCAGCCTGCCCACCCCGAATCCCAGCCCCCAAATGGCCAGTCGGGACACCAGGGAGGGCCCGCCCGGGGCGTCCCCTATCTGCGGGGTCAGAGCCACTCCTGTCCCAGAAACACACTGTCCCGTCCCATGAGTGGGACCACGTTGTTCTGTGAGCCGGGCCACAGACGCTCTGCTGTAGGACTGTGGGGCCTGGGGTCGGCATCTGAGCGCCAAGGCTCTGCACGTGTGTCCTCACACACGCACGCCCACGCTTGTGCCTGCTCACGCACACCAGTGCCCGGGCACAGGCGAGCCCCGGACTCTGGGCTGTGGGGTGGGGTCTGCAGAATCACCCAGGTGACTTTTGCCACCAGCTGCTCTGCCCTTGATTCCCCCCATTCCTTCAGGGGTCCCTAAACAGGAAGCCCCCACAGGAGGGCCGCGCCCCGCCCTGACGGAGGTGAACCTCTCATTGGCTCAGCCCTCCAACCACGCTGCTTCCTTCCCGCTTCACAAATACACTAGGTTCTCAGGACCTTTGCACGAGCCACTCCCACCTCTGCACCATCCCTGTGGTTGGACCCTGCCTTCCCAAACTGTGCCGATTACGACCCCACTGCTTGTCCCTCATCAGCAGGAGGAGACCCCGTTCCCATCCGCTGTGCGGCAGCTCCAGCTCACAGCGGCTCCTGGGGCGTCTGGGGCCCCACCCTCCGAGCCCAGAGCTCAAAAGACCCAGCTCAGGGAGCTGTGCGAACGCCCACTGCAGGCTGCCCTTGTGGCCCAAGCTTCCTGGGGAGCCCCTTGGGAGCAACCCCCACCTCCAGGAGCCTCCCCGCCGGTGACGGGAAGGCCCGTGGCCAACGCCCAGACAGGCATGTCGCAATGACCTTCCTGCTCCCTCTAACTAGGTCATGCATCTGGTTTCGGTTGTTTGGAAGGTGAGCGAAGCTTTGCTCCCCAAAAGGCCCAGTCCCTGCCTGGGACTCCTCTGCAGACCACATCCCTGTTGGCCGGCCACCCAGGGACCCACTGCGGCCCCTTCTGTCCTGTCTGGGTCCTGGCACCGCCAAGTGACCGTGGGGGAGCCCAGGGAAGGGGCCACCAGCCTGTGCGGCTCCGTAGCCCCAGATGTCACACAGAGAAAGCCTCGTCACCTCTCCGGGGACCAGGATGGCGGGGCCCGGCCACAACCAGGGGCCACAGGGAGGCGGAGTCACGTGACCCTACCCTCCTGGCCCGCCCCAGGGCCCGGCCACAGCAGTGCTGGAGCTCTGTCCCGAGGGCCACCCTGCCCCGAGCTCCGTAGGTGGCCACAGGGCCTGGTGGGGGGGGGGGTGCCTCGGGGTGACCCACAGGGCCACGGGGACACTCACGGCTCAGATTCCACCGTCTCCTTCTCGGCCAGGTAGTTGTGCGGCACGTAGCCCTCGGCCAGGGCCCTGCCCGCCTCATCCAGCCGCACAGCCCAGCACCACTCCTCCCCCTTCCGGGCCACGTGGAGCAGGTCCCCTGCCCGGAAGCTCAGCTCCTTGTCCGTCCGGGCCTCGAAGTCCCACAGGCCCACGTACCGGGGGCCTGGCTGAGGCTGGCCGCGGGACACCATGGCGGGTGCGGCGGCACGACTGGCCTCCTGGCCTTGACACCTGTCACCGGGCGGCGGCCGCTCCAGCCGGGGCTGGCAGCAGCAGGCGGGTGGGGCCGGCCCTGACAGGCCGCCTCCACGGGCCGAGGAGCCAGCCCACTGCCCTGCGCTGCGGGGGCGAAGCCAGGCCGGCCACACCTGTGCCCCCGGGCCTTTGCCCTGGGCTGAACCCCGAGGGCCCAGCAGCCCCCCCCCCGCCGGCCTCCTGCCCACCTGGGCCGGGGCAGTCTGGGCACGGCTCCCGCCCACCTGCTCTAGGGAGTGTGCCCACCGCCCAGCCACGTGGCCCGACCTGAGCCCCCCGGGGGGGAACAAGTAACGGATCAGACAGGGCCTCCCTGGGGTCCAGTTTAGTGGCTGGGGCTCAGGCGCAAGTAGACCCCGGGTGGGAGTGAGGAGCAGGAAGGCTGGAGGCCTGTGGGCAAGTCAGCCCCGCCCACTTCCCGGCTGTCTCTTCCCAGAGTCTCCTCTGGACGCCCCGGGGGGGGGGTGCAGGCTTCTGTCCCCTCCCTGGAGGCTGTCCCCCTCGGGCTACCACACACTCCCTTCCCCAGACCCCTGCCCCGGGGGGACCTGCGCTGGCCTCCAAGAGACGGGAAAGGGTGGGCAGGACCCTGAAAGAGGGAGCAGCACGGGGGCCTCAGGGCGGGGGTGGGGGAGGCCCAGCCCTGAAGGGGAGCTGGGGGCCAGGGCGGGGAGAAGGCTCAGGGTGGGCTGTGTGTCCGTGTCGGCCTGCCCCAGCCTCACGACCGAGACGAGAGCCGGGGACCCTGCCCCCTGGATGGGGGTCCAGGCGGACACTGACCAGGGGAAACCTGATGCTAAGCCTGGCCTCTCGCCACGTCCCTCTTTTGGAAAAGGGAGTAAAGGCAGGACTCCTCCCTTGTGAGGTCAAGAGCAGGAATGTGGTTACGCGGCAGGTCACAGTCATACTGGCAGACCAGGGTGGAGGGGGGCGCGGCTGGGCGGGGGCTGCGCAGCCTCTGCCGGACCCAGGGCTCTTAAGGCGCCCCCCGCCGCCCCTCCCTCATTGCTGGGCCACACGCGCCGTCCGCTCCTGGGCGCAGACGCCCGGTTCTGCCTAAGCCACAGCAGGAAGCCCCTGGAGGCCCCGAGCACCAAACCTGTTGGGCCTGTGGCTGATGACACACGCCAGGAATGCACCGGTGACCCCCATGCACGCCCGCCTCTGGCCCCAGCTCAGCACACTGCTTCCCTTCCTTCCCTCAGAGGCTGCCGTCCGGCCCCACGCCACACCCTCTCACAGGCAGGACCGAGGGGGGCCAGGGGCTGCAGCCAAAGCTGTGGGCTCCCAGAGTTCCCGGGGGCACCCGGGGGTGCCCACGCCTGGCACCCGATGCAAGGAGTCCCCCGCCTCTCCCTGCTCGGCCCTGACTCACACCCGGGCTGCTCAGGCCCTGCCCTTTCCTCCCGCCTCCCCCTGTGCTGCCCTCGCCTTGGTGACCTCAGCACCCTCCCCTCTGGGAAGCGCCCCCCCATTCAGCCCTGCACAGCCGTGGGCAGGGCCTGTGACCAGTGGTGATGTGGGAAACAGAGGCCAGCTGAGGGCCAAGCACAAGCTAGCAGCCCCCTCCCCCGCCTCGGAGCCCTCCCCCCGGGGGGGGGGTGACCCTCCTCACCCTCTCCTGGTGTCCCAAGACCAAAGGAAAGGGGGAAAACAAATGGTTAACTGGTAGAGATCACATCATGCAGGACACGAATATCAGTCTACAACCGTCTTCGTGATTTACAAGGAAAAGAGCAATTTTGTCAATAGCCAAACTCCCGGGAACCTACAGATTCCATTTCCTGAAGCCCCAACACCACCTTCTCCCCATAGGACAGAACATCTTATATGACCCGCCACCCCTCACGACCCAAGTGCACTTTCTGCCCACGGGTCCTGTCCTCACTCTTTAATAAAACCACCTTTTTGCACCAAAAACATCTCAAGAATTCTTTCTTAGCCGTTGGCTCCGAGCCCCACCACCACCCACCTCAAGTGGGGCGGGGCCGGCTGGGCTCCGCAGGTGCACACGTGCCCCTCCCTAAGCTGTGCATGTAGGCTGTTCTCTCCAGGGGACGGTAAGCAGGGAGCAGCTTGCCTCTGTCCTTCTGTCCCACAGGCCATTGGGACACAGCTGTCATCATGGGGGTCACAGGAGTGGGAGATGAGGACCCTGAGCACAGACCACCCTGCCCGGCCCCTGCCCTCCATTTGTCTGTCTCCTGGTGGCGCTGGTGACGGGAGCTGGGCAGGGAGACTGAGAAGCTCCCCCCCACCCCCGCTCCTCATTCAGTGACAACAACGGTGACTTGAAATCAGCCGCCGGGGGAGCAGTCACACCCTGGAAACCGCTTGCTTCCTTTTCCCCCAGAGACTGCGTTGTGACCCAGTTGTCTGAACACTGTGGCATCCAACCCACCCCTGCCTGACCCTGCACGGGCAGGTCAGCACCTAGGACCCTGAGCCACTGAGGCCCAGCCTCTGCCTCCCTGACCTTCGCCCTGCCCCCAGAAAGAGCCAGCCTGACCTTCCCATGGCCTGACCCTGTCCCTCCTCCCTCCCGCCCTTCAATTCCAGCCCCAGGGAGATGGAATGGGCTACCACACAGCTCCCCAGGCCGGCACGGGGTCATGCCCGTGGCCCAAAAGTCACGCTTCCTCCGGGGCCCCAGTCTGGGCCCTAGGATGCCCCGGGCGGGGGGGTGCCTGGGCCGCACGGGGGCCAGCTCTCTATCTGCCACGATGAATCAGCTGGTGGACCATCCTATCCCATCCAGGTCTGATCTGGGTCTGGGAGCTGAGGCCCGCGGGTGACACATGTCTGTGCGTGTATCTGAGTCAGTCAGCGTGTATTTATTGCGTGGATGCTGCCTTCCCGTGTGCACGGGTCTGTGCGTGTGCCATGTGCGCCCAGTGCCTGGGGTCTGCCCGCGAGCCCAGCCGTCGGCCACAGGGGGACCTTGCAGAACACTGGGGAGCCGGGCCTCTGGCTCTGGACCCTGGGAGGGAGAGGAGGCGTCCGGCGCAGCGTGGACGGGCAGGGGCCCGGCTCGCGGCTCCTCCGTCCGGCCGAGCGCCCCACCTGGACTTCCATCCCGAGTTCTTCCCTTGGCGGGGACACCAGGCCACGCGGCGCCAAGGCCATCACACCCTCCTGTCAGAGAAGGTGCCTGCACGGGTCTGCCGCCCACAGCACGGGACGGGTCAGCGCGCGTCAGGCCGTGAGGTGCTCGGCCAGAGGTGGTTCCAGGCCGCCGGCACCCCTGTGTGTGTTGGTGGCCAGTGCCATCCTGCAGGGACGCGCCGGGCAGGGAGGAGCGGCCCAAGCCCCCCATCCAGTGCCCCAGGTCACGTGAGGGCGGAGTGGAGGCGCCTGCGGGCTGCACTCAGCGGCTCTTGCAGCGTGGCGAAGGCGGGCCGCTCCTCGGGGCCCCTCCCCCAGCACCCCAGCATGAGGGCGTAGACCTCAGCCGGGCGGGGCGCCGGGCGTGGCAGCCGCTACCCCCGAGTGACCTGCTGCAGGGTCTCGTGGTTGCTCAGTCCCGGCGAGGGGCAACGAGAGGGCTGGGCGAGGCCGAGGGCTCGGTGTGGGCGCCTCCCTCCGGCTCCCGGCAAGACCCTGCCGAGCTTGGTGCCTGACCCCTCCCCCAGGCCCCCTGGGCCCACCTTCGTAGGGACACTGGCCGTAGGTGAGGACCTCATAGAGCAGGACTCCGAAGGACCAGACGTCCGACTTCTGGGAGTAGACACGGTAGTTGGCTGCCTCGGGCGCCGTCCACTTGACAGGGATCTTGGAGCCTCTGCCTGGGGAGTAGATGTCCTCCTGGGTGAGGGGAGACCGGTGGTGGGTGGGGCGCCCTCCCCTCCCGGCCACGGCGGGGTCGGTGGTCCCAGGCTGAACTGACCTTGAGCAGCCGGGCCAGGCCAAAGTCGGCCACCTTGCACGCCAGGTCATCACCCACAAGCACGTTCCTGGCGGCCAGGCCGCGGTGCACAATGCGCCTCTCCTCCAGGTAGCTCATGCCCTCGGCTACCTGGCAGGCAAAGCTCAGAAGGAGAGGCAGGCCCAGGGCCCGCCCCTCGGGGCCTGCAGGGCAAGGCCGACGGTCAGGGGGGCACGCGTCTGCACCGCTCACTTCTCTCGGTGCCTCGGTGTCCCTACCCCTAAGAGGGGCTGAGAGCAGGGCCCCCCGCCAAGGCTGTCGGGTCACGGTGCTGTGCCGGGACCACTCATCGAGGCGGCCCCCCTGGGCCCCAGGGAGAGACCGGACACCGAGAGGGGCCAAGGCAGGGAAGGCGCTCGGGGCTGCTGACGCGGACAGGCCGCACGCCCACGTACACCCCCCAGCCTGGAACCACATGCTGAGTGCCCTCCAGCAGGCACAGCACGGGCCGAGCCCGAACCCACTGTGGGCCAGAGCCCAGGCCCGACCGGCGCACCGTGAAAGGCCCAAGCCAAAAAGGGGGCTGCCGGTCATGGCCGGGCCCCGGGGGTTGGGGGCAGGGACTCACTGCCCAGGAAGGCCTGCAGATTGCCCTTGCGCATGAGCTCGGTGACGATGTACACGGGCTCGCCGGCCGAGCACACTGCGTGCAGCCGGATGAGACGCTCGTGCCTCAGGCTCTTGAGGGTCTGGATCTCCTTGGCGAGGTCTGTGAGCTGCACGTAGGCTGCGGGAGAGGCACCGCTCCAGGTCCCGCCCAAGCCACCCTGACCCGGGGCGGGGGGGGGGGGGGGGGGGGGCTCGAGGGGTCAGAGGGTGGGGCGGGGGCAGGCCTCACCCACCTGACTTGATGACCTTGACTGCCACCGGAGTGGAGCCGAGCCACAGGCCTTCCCACACCTCCCCGAAGTGGCCTTCTCCCAGCTTCCTGTGCAGGGCAAACTCCGGAGCGAGGCCGCTCCCACTCGTCCAGCGGGGGGTGCTGCTGCGGGGGTGGGGGGCACTCGGCGCCTCTGCCTGCTGCTGCCTGGACAGAGGGGACCGTTCCTCCTGGAGCGCCGGCCTGCGGCACCTCTGCTGCGGCACACGCCCAGCACCCGCCTGGTCGCGCTCCGGAATGCGGGCCCGGCTGCTCTGGGATCTAAGTGGCCCCCTTGCTGGAGGTGGATGTCCTCCCACACGCACTCATTACAGTGCCTGGACAGACTGTCATTAGAAACCAGAGCAACTGGATGGCTGCGCGGCCCCTGGGCAGGACGGCTCGTGCGTGGTGGCCTGGGGGCTCCCGCTTCTGGCACAGACGTGCTCGGCCGGGACCGGCGTCTCCTACAGCTTCTGCCTGGGGCCTGCAGGTGGGCATCTTCCCCAGACGCCCCCCACCCCTGTCCCGGCCCTCACCCCCCACCCCTCGCCCCCTGCCACCCGCAGAGCTGGGTTCAGGTGAGGGGTGGCGGCCAGAAGCCCCTGGAGATAGAGATGCGACACGTGTGAGAGCAAACCTGACCCCAGGCAGGGCCCCGCCGGAGCTTGGAGGGGCAGACCCAGTGCCCCCAGGCCGTGTCAGGCCCCCCAGCCACCCTCGGAGACAGGCCCGGGCCTGGCGCCTGGCTCACACCCCTGCATGTGCAGGGCAGCCCACCCACCTGGGGCACACAGGGCTGCAGCAGCGGGTGGTGGATCAGCTTCCAGTTGGCCTTGTAGTAGGCGAGCAGCAACTCCAGGCTGGGGAAGAGCCGGCCCTTCTGCAGGTAGAGACCGTCGGCCGCGGCGGAGATGCGGTAGTGGCGCACTCTGGCCTGGGACCGGACTGCGGGTGTGCAGAGCTGAAGGCCTTCTGCCTGCTGCCTGCCCCACGGCCTCCCACCACCCCAACCAGATGGCTGCCAAAACCTTCCCAGGCCGGGCGCGGATCCGGCCTCACGGGCCTCATGGAAAGGAGGGAGTGTGGGCAGCCGCAAGCCAGAGGCACAGCAAGAGGGACCGGGGGGCTTCTGGCCACAGGGCGCACAGAGCCCGGGGGGGTGCTCAGTGGACACACGGACGAGTCTGAGAGTGAGTGGGTGAAGGAGGGGAGGGCGAGTGACGGGTGAGCGGCTGTGCAGGCCGGGCAGGCCAGCAGCACGGGAGGGAAGATAACCAGCAGCTTGGTGAGCTGCGAGATGACCAGCTGTGGGTGCCTTCAAGCTCGATGTGCGGCCAGCAAGGCCTGGGAGCAGCTGTCCCAAGGTCAGGGGCGTTCTGGCGCAGCCTCAGCCCGGGGACAGAGGTGCAGGCGGCCACCGCATTACCTGATAGCGAGTAGTCGCCACGGCTGCTCTCGCTCGGCCGGATGAGGAAGGCCCCCGGCGCGTTGGCCGCAGACAGGAGCATCTGCTGGGCCCGCGCGCGGCTGATGCCGCTGAAGAACCAGCTGCGAAGGCAGGCAGGGCTGTCACCAGCGGGCCCAGGCCAAGCGGCCCCTGCCCCCACACCGGTCAGGGGCCCCGATGCCCGACTCCCACCGTCTTCTCGGGCACAGGGTGCGCCCAGGGCACAGTGCAGGACCCGGCCCAGGGCCTGCATCTGCTCCAGCCCTCCGTGCCCAGCCTCTGGAGCTGCTGGGGAGGGGACAGGGGGACCCCTGGGGCCGGCCCCCAGCCCTGCTCATAAAACGCCCACCAGTGTGGGGGGACCACCCGCGCATGCAGGCCCACAGCTAACCCAGGGGACCCAAGGCATGACTCGAAGTGAGTCGACACAGTCGGGGGTGGCCTGAAAAGGGGGCCTGGGTGGTCAAAGTTGTGCCATCCCGCACAGGCAGATGCTGCTGGAGGCCAGGGTGAGGCCAGAGCCTGGCAGGAGGGAGACAGAGGCAGGCTTGCGCCTGGCACAGAGGAGCTGTGGGCACCCGGGAGCTTCGGGAGGGGAGCTGGGAACTAACATGGCCAGAGCCTACCCTGGGGCTGGGCTGGGGGCTGTGAGAGGGAACAGATGGAGACAGGAAGCGGGGGTGATGGCAGACAGAGGCCGAGGCCCCAGAGATACTGGGGGGAAGACCATCACACACAGGGCAGAGAACGGTCAAGGACACTTGGACACGGATCCCTGGGACCAGACTTAGTGGGCAGCAGCCTCCGGGAAAGCCAACCAAACCCTCCTTCGGCCTCATTTTTCAACACACCGATTTTGGAGCGGAAGGCACAGCCTCCGGAGGCTGCCGGAACCCTCAGCAAGGGCCTCCCGCAGCCAGACCCTGCCTTCCGAGGCCCGCCAGCCAGGAGGCCCTTCGCAGGACAGCACGGCTATGGGGGAGAGGAGACGCAGAAGAGTCCCCAGCCCCCATCAAGGGCCGAGGGGAGGCTGAGGCCCTGTGCACCCCTGAGCGTCAGGGACGTTCTCCGGAGTCTCTCCCTGGGGTGGGGCGGGCAGTGGCTGAGCTAAGGTTGGAGGAGCCTCGTTCTCAGGTCAACCCTCAACCCTGAGAACGAGGCTCCTCCCCCTGCGCAGCCAGTGTGGCCCTGAGGACAGAGCGCCAGGTGTCTGGGGCTAATGACACCAGGAGTGTGGTCAGCCCTTTCATCCCGGGCCCAGGCAAACAGTCATTACCGCTTCCTCCCGGCACCGCCCCCCCGGCCTCCCAGCGCTGCCAGCCGCCTGGCTCCTGGGATCCGTGCTCCACACCTGGAGTGACCGTGGGCCCCCTCCCCATCAGAACGGGGTCCCTCCCATCGCTCTCAATAGGCTGGTTACTGGGTGGGAGTCGCCTCAGAGGACGGCTTCCTAGGACTCGGGCTTTCCATGCCACACGCAAGACCCCCAGGACACTGGAGATGACCTGTGCGGAACTGAGACCCGTGCTGGCTTGCAGCCCTAGCCCAGGTGGGCACAGGATAAGAAACCAGTGTCCGTGCGAGTCTGGGCAGCCGGGCCTGTTCACCGGCTGGCCTCTGGCCTCTTCTCACCCAGCACATCACCTCCACGCATGCTGGGGCCGGGGGTGGCGTCTCCGCCCCCCTAGCCAGGGCCGCATCTGTCTAGACGTCGTCAGGCATTGCGCCGGCTGACCCACTGCATTAAGGGGAAAACGGGCAGGGGCCACAACCAGACTTTGGATAAAATGTTTGAGGCCCATGCACGATGTGCACCAAAGCGGGGCCCAGTCAGAGCTGGCACACAGCTGTGTCTGGAGGCCACCCTATCGTTCAGACCCTGAGTCTGGGCTGAGAGGTCACCTCCTCCCCTAGGCCCAGTGGGGAAGCCCCCACTGTCTGTCTCCCTCCCTCCACGATTGCAGATGGGCATGTGAACCGCCAGGTGTCCATGGGGGCCAATCCCTGCCTGGGCCTGGGGGCCTTGGGCATGCTGGGGGGTTGGGGGGTGAGCCCCCCTCCACCTGTGTCCCCCTCTCAAAACAAGCTTCTTTGGGAGCAATTCCAAAGGCTGGGGTCATGTCTGCCCCACACCTGACGTGATGGGGACATGTGATCCTAGGACTCAATCCTGACGCTGCAGAGCAGGGTGATACTCACGGCTGGTCGGACAGCGTCTCCGGGGTGGCCTTGGCCAGGTGGGTGATGGGCACCAGCGCAGCACTGGGCCGGCCCGAGAGCCTGCGGGCAGAGATGTCGTCGCCCTCCTCCTTGAGGCCATAGAGCCTGTCCCCACGGCTGACACTCCGCTCCTCGGCGCACCGCGCGGTGAAGTCGTGGAGCGCCCTGAAGGGCTGCGCGGGCGCGGGGGAGCCGCAGGGCTCCGCGGCGGGGGGCGCTGGCTCCGCGCGGGCCCCAGGACCGGGGAGCCCTGGGGTGCCGTTGTCGTCGTCCGGCGCGCTCACCGGCCAGGTCTTGTCCCAGAAGAAGGACAGGAAGGTCAGCCGCTTTCTGAGGAAGGGCTCCATGCTCCCAGGGCGTCCCGCGCTGGACCCGGGGCCCTGCAGCGAAGGGGCCGCAGAGGCAGGACTTAGGGCTCCGACCCACAGAAACTGGAAGGGCCGGCGGGGCCCGCCCACCCGCCTGCCTCCAGGTTCGGGGACCCGCCGCTCCCTTCCTCCCCTCATCCACCTGAGCAGCAGCGTCCAGGCCCCCAGGATGGCCNCAACAAGACTCCGCCTCCCGGGCTGGGGTTCAGACCCGGGGTGGGGGGGGGGGGGGGGCGGTCAGGGTCGCCACACAGGGCCGCTCCCCAACTGCTCGTGCCCAACAGCTCACGGAGGCTCTCCCGCGCTGGGGCGGGGCCGCGGGGGGCGGGGCCGGGGCGGTGGCACCCAGAGGTCGCGCTCAAGTGAGCACACGCCGGTGCCGGACCGAGCCTTGCCCTCAGAGGAGGCAGCCGCTGCACAGCGCCTGGCAGTGACCTGGATTTGCGTCAACAACTGCCTGGTTCATGTTGGCCAAATCTCAGCATAAAAACCGAACGCAGGGCAGCCTCACGTGCTTGGCCAGTAGCGTCTGCAGCCAAGTCTGAGTCCGTTGGGCGGGTTGGGGGGCAGCCTGGGACCTCAGGCAAGGGGGCAGTCTCCTTGCACTGTGCTTTTTCTCCCTCCTCACGTGGGAGTTGGCGGTGACCTCAGGGGCTCAGTGAGCAGAGTAGGTTCTGCCCAGATGATGGGGTGATGTATCTTTTGAGCCCCTCAGGGCCAGGAGACCCCAACGGCCACCACAGGGAGGGGGAGGCTCTAACGTCTGACCCCCCACCTCAGGGATGTGAACTGGGGTGCCAGTGACAGAGAGGCCTGGCCAGGGCCTGCACCTCCCCCCTTACCCAGCTCCCTGCACACAAATCACCCTGCCCACTGCCCTGGCTGGCCTCTGTTTCTGAGGGGTGGGGGGAGTCCTGGCCGCAGGCAGCTGCGTGCTCCCCCCGACCCCTGCCGGACTGGCCTCTCCCCGGCGCAGCCCCCGGTGGTCATTACTGAGCCCACACCTCTCTTGTGATAGCCACAGACCCTCCCTGGTCCCACACGGGATGGACACCTGGGTGTTCATGTTCTGTGGTTGAACAGGGCCGACAAACAGGTGTGATGAGTGGTCACGGAGAAGCCAAGCCGCCTCCCCGGGCCGGCCTGCAGCAGACACTGCTCTGAGCCCACCCTGGGGCCACAGATCTGGATGAACAGCTTACAGGCTGCAGTCAGGGGCGGTGATACCATGAGCTGCCTGGGCCACCAGCCCCGCTGTCTTCTGAAGGAGCGCAGGGAGCCGGGGGCGGCCTGGGGCCCTGGGGGCAGGCTCTGTGGGACTGAGACTCGTCGCGCTGGACGGTGGTCACGGGAAGAAGGTAGGCTACTTACACAACTCGGGAAGGCCCTGGAAGGGCCTGAGCTTCTCCTCCACCAGCCTCTTGGTGAGTCGGCCGCCACACCCGTGCCCTCCCGTCCACGCACGGCTGCGTCTGTACACGGACCCTCCCAAACCCTTTATGCCTACGCCGCTCTCCTCCTGGGAAGCCACGCTTCGTGTCTCTGAGCCATTTGGCCGCAGGGAGGCCTCTTCAGGGCCTGGGAGGGTCCTGCTTGTGCTGACCGTGCTGGGGGTCAGACACTCAGAGCACTGGACACAGATCCCTCCTGGGCACTCCCAGTCCCTCCGAGCCCCAGCCTCCTGGACCCAGCACATCCCGTCTGGCCGTGAGGGCAGGCAGCCCCTGGCCTGGTGCCCACAGGAAAGCGCCCAGTGGGCTGTCCACCCTGCCCCTGCTACAGAGACCCCCCCGGGCACCCTACAGATGAGGAAACGAGGTTCTGTCCACCACGTCAAGTCAGAGCAGGGACCCGTGCTGGGAGGTGGGGACCGGGCTCACGTGGCCCACCTCCTGGTGACCAGGGACCGGTCCTCCTCGTCCGCCCGATGCAGTGGGCTCTGCAGAGAACACCCCAGCCCTGCCCGGGCCCTCCTCCGTCCCCTCACCCCACAGACCCCCAGACTGCCTGCGGCCCTGGCACCACACACACCCGGCATCAGGCACCCAGTGATGAGAGCCACCTGTGCCCACCTTGCCGTGGGCGGCCCTCAGGGCTGCCTGCCCGCCCACCCGCCTGCCTCCAGGTTCGGGGACCCGCCGCTCCCTTCCTCCCCTCATCCACCTGAGCAGCAGCGTCCAGGCCCCCAGGATGGCCCCTGTCCTGACGCTGTCACTCACCCCCTTTATCAGCCCTCACCACTGACGGTGCTGGATGGGGCTGGGGGTGTAGAGGGCGTGAATGGGGGAGAGGACCCCGAACCCTGGATGCGCTCAGATGACAGGGTTCCAACCCTGCTGTAGACTCACTAGCCCTATGATCTCAGGTAAGGTGCTAGACCTCTCTGCCTCCATTTCCTGGTCTCGAAGAGCATTGCGCTTGCAGGGGCCGAGTGAGGGTTCAGAACAGACCTGCTGGGGTGAGGAGGGGCCTTCCTGGGTGCTCAGGCTGAGGCCGGCAGCCCAGAGCCCCACACCACGGGTTCATCTTCTGGAGGACACAAGGTGGGGGCCTGTGGCGGAGGCGAACTCTCCTCCACCACCAGGCCCCCCACCCTCATGGGTCCTACAGCCCAGGGGCAGCACAGGCTGGTGGCTGGAGACAGGGCTGGGCAGACTGGTCCATCCATGCCAGGCACTGTCACTCAGCGATGTCCAGCGAAGGAGCTGGTCCCCAAAGGTGTGCATTTGGGAAGGACACAGCTATAGACATGGAGATGATGTCAGCAGGTGCTGGAGGAAAGGGGGGCTTGGGGTGGTTGCTGAAGGCCCCTGGGATGGACCAGTCCTGCGTCTTTCTGCATCACAGTCACTATCCTGGGTGACCTTTCGTGACAAGATGTTCTGAAAGATGTTTCCACTGGGGGAAACGGGGCAAGAATACATGGGCCCTGTGTTATTTCTGCAGTTGCATGTGAATCTATAATTCTCTCAAAATTAAGAGTTTAATTTTTTTACTAGAATTTAAATAAAAATTTGAAAAGAAAAAAAAGAGGTTAATTTTTTAAAGTTAAACAGAAAAAAGGGGCCGGGCCCAAGGAGGTGGCAGAAGCCCCAAGCATGCCTGGCCCAAAAGAGAACGGGGTGGGGACGGGGTTGCCTCTGTCCCTCTCGGGGGGCAGCCTGCGGGGGTGGGGCGCCTTCCTCCCCCGCCCCCCTTTCCAAGTGCCAGCCTCCCGCTCAACCTTCAGACCCCTGAAAAACAACACCAACAGCTCGCATTGACCGAAAGCCCAGGAGAGAGAGAGGTGGGCAGGAACATACCCACCGGCTCCCTCTCCAGGTCCCACGCCCGGGGGCTCCCCGCCCAGGCCTGGACCTGGGGGTACACTGATGGGCGCCTAGCCAGGGAAGCCTACCCCAAGAGTGGGGTCACCCGGAGGGGAGGGGTGCAGTGGAGGGAGGCTCTGGACACAGAACAGACTGGCAGGGAGCTGGGGGGCAGGTGCCCTGTCCTGAAAAGGACCCACCGCTGTCTTGCCCTGGGGACAGACACGCGCAGAGCACCCCTCCCTCCCCATCCTCCCCAAGCGGGGACAGCTAGTGTCCTGGGTGTCTGACGCTGACTAGTGCCTGCGGGAGGCCCCAGCCGTGCTGAGAGAGCCCAGAGGTCCTGAGCCCGGCGGGGGCCGCAGAGGGGGTCACCGAGGGGCCGAGAAGCCCTCTGACAGTCTCCCTGGACCTGCGGAGATGCCATGTGTCCAGACCAGACAGGTGACCAGCGGCAGCACCCCCCTCCCCCCCAGGCAGGATGCTGCCTCAGGGAGGGCTGTCCCTACACCGCCCCCTGCGGTGACAAGTGCTCACTCACGAGGTCACCACTGCTCCCCCCGGGTCCCCCCGGGTCCCCCCGGGGCAGCGCTGAGGCTGGGACAAGCACCCCCAGCCCCGGGTGGGCAGCGTGTCCACAGGACTCTGGGCCGGGTTCCCTGCAGAGGGGCGGCCGGCTCAGTTTACTCCTCTCTGGGGAACCCTCCTTTGGGCTTGGCTTTCCCCCAAGCCGGGGCGCGGGGCGTCACCGCAGTTTCCTCCGGGAGGGAGCGAAGCCCCGCCCCCCCTCCCCCTCCCCCGTAACTCCCTGCGCCTGAGCCGGGGTGGGGGCGGGGCCCGAGGCACCAGTGGCTCCTTTTGGAGTGTTGGGACCAGAGAGCTCCCTCCCCGCACCCCAGGGTCCCGGGCTCCCGCCCCACCCTGTGAGATGGGCGGGGCGTCACAAAGGCCCGCGGTCCCCATGGCAACTCGCTGGACGCGGCGGTGGCGCGCTGGGCGCACAGTCCGCCGCGAGGCTCTCTCCGCTCCGGAGGCCGGGCAGGTGGGCTGGGCGCGGGCGGGGGCGAGCGGGTGGGCCTGGGGGCTTCTGGAAGGCCCAGGAGGGTGTCGGTCCGGGTGCAGAGCGGCCCCTTCCCCGGAGCTCACACCAGCGCCTCGGCGGTTTTCCTCCCGAGGGACTAGGGGGCACCCCTGTACCCCCAGACCCAGGGGCCAGAGCAGGACAAGGCTGGGATCCCCGGAGTCCCGCTTCACTGCACCCAGTGCCCTTTCTGTGGGGCCCAGGGCCTTCTCGGTTTCTGCGCCCCAGGGAGGTGGCCTTTGTGGAGGGAGACTGACTTGGGTCCCAACCTCACTGTCCCTTAGCAGTGTGGCCTTAGGTCGCTCACCCTGCGAGCTTTCTTTGTAGCTCATCCAGCCCTGGTGTTGCTGGGACAACCTGGGATCTCGGCTGTCTCACTGCCCTGGGGGTGGCTGGGACCCCGATTGCTGGCGCCTTCTCCAAGGAGCCCCAGCTTGCAGGGGCCAACCCTCGTGTCCAGTCCTGGAACCGCGGCTGCAATCAGCCGCAACCCCCCCCCACCCCCGCCCAGAGCTGGGAACCAAGGCAGGGATAGCTCAGGACAGTCGGGCTCTGGAGGTGACGGCTGCGCTCAAACTCTGAACTGAGAACAAGCTACGAAGCATTTTAGCCTCAGGCCCCCATCTGTGAGATGAGGTCAGGCGACCTCACCACTCTACGGGGTCCGGTGTGCGGTGAGCTCATTAAGGATGAGAGCGTGGACTTGGTAACTAGAAGCCGGCACGACTATCCCTCAGAGCTGAGGCTGGGGCCCCCCTGCCACCCTCGCTGGCCTCCAGCCACCAGCTGGCCTTGTCTCTGGGTGAGCCCTGCCCTCGGCTCCGCACCTGCAGCCAGGCACGGGAAGTCTGCAGGGCGGTGGTGTCCCCGAGGAGGGTCTGGTGCTGTGCGCACAGGGTCACGCCGAATCCTCTCCACGGCACTGTCCCGAGAGAGCACCCTCACCCCACCCAGACGAGGAACTGAGACCTAGGCCGGGCCACTCAGCTGGTCAGAGGCTGGGGTTCCTGCCCCAGCGCCCATTGTATCAGCTCTTCCCTGTGTCACACAACTGACACCGTCAGTGGAGTGCTGCCCCCGCCCCCCCCCCGTGTCCAGTTTTATGCAGATCCACAGCCTTCCCTCCAGCAGCCTCTTTCCAGAGAGACCATGCCCTCCCCCTCCAGCCCCTCCCCCGGGGGGAGGACAGAGGACCCGGAGCCACCCCCCTGCCCTGAGCGAGCCCCTGGGCAGGTGGCAAAGGCCAACTGACTTTCAGCTCACACCCCACCCTCTACCCCTGCTCCCAGACAATGAACTTCCAGGTGACAGGCCTGGGCCTGGACAAGATGAAGCTGGACAGTCCCCAGTCCTTCCTGGACCAGGAGGAGGCGGAGGAGGCGGACGATCAGCAGCTGCTGGAGCCGGAGGCCTGGAGGACCTACATGGAGCACCGCACCACCCTGCGCGAGTTCCTGACCTCGGACCTGAGCCCGCACCTGCTCAAGCGCCACCACGCCCGCATGGAGCTGCTCAGGAAATGCTCCTACTACATCGAGGTCCTCCCCAAGCACCTGGCCCTGGGCGATCAGAACCCGCTGGTGCTGCCCACCACCATGTTCCAGCTCATCGACCCGTGGAAGTTCCAGCGCATGAAGAAGGTGGGCGCGGCCCAGACCAAGATCCAGCTGCTCCTGCTCGGGGACCTGCTGCAGCAGCTGGGCCGCGGCCACGCCGAGCTGGGCGCCCTGCTGGAGTCGCCCGACCCGCGGCCCTTCCTGGCGGGCTGGGGGCTGGTGGAGCAGAGGCTGGCGGACCTGTCGGCTGTCATGGACAGCTTCCTGGCCATGATGGTGCCTGGGCGTCTGCACGTCAAGCACCGCCTGGTGTCCGACATCGGCGCCGCCAAGATCCCACACATCCGGCTCATGCTGAGCACCAAGATGCCCGTCATGTTCGACCGGAAGGAGTCGGTGGCCCACCATGACTGGGTCAGCCTGCGCTGGTGCGTCACCACCCAGCCGGTGGCGCCCGAGCAGTTTGAGCTCCGCTTCAAGCTGCTGGACCCACAGACCCAGCAGGAGAGCCTGCAGCGTGGCGTCGTCCCCGTGGCCGCCTGCACCTTTGACATCCACAACCTGCTGCCCAACCGCTCCTACAAGTTCACCATCAAGAGAGCCGAGAGCTACACGCTGGTGTACGAGCCCTGGCGGGACAGCCTCACTCTGCAGACCCGGCCGGGGCCCCCCGAAGGGCCCACCCCCCGTCGGCCGGGCAAGCCAGGCCTGTCCCTGACCACACTTTCCGAGAGATGATTTTCTAATATTTATCCACTAATAAAGAGGAGTATAAGCACACGCACCGCTTACGTTTTAGGGGCGGCGGCAGCAGCTGTGTGAGTGCTTCTTCCGACTCCACCCAGTCTCCCCACAAGCCCCGGGCCCCCCAGGCTCCGGCCGCCTTTCCCAGGGGAACCCTGGGCTGGACCTTCCAGGGGAGCGGACCCCTGGAGAAAGGAGCATCGCCCTGGCAACTGGCTGCCATTAGCAGTGAAGAGAGCTTCTCCGAGGGGCTCTCCCGCGTGGGCCCCAGCCGCTCCCACATCCCTCCTTCCCGTTCTGTCACAGCAGCCCGCCATGTGGCGTTGGCACGGGCTTAGCCCTGCGTCTCTTCTCCTGTGTCCTTGGCTGGGGTCTCCGGGGGGACTGTAATCTCGATGAGCTCCTAGCTCGACTGGAGTCAGGGCATCAAGGCCAAGAGGACATTTTTTAAATTTTATTTTATTATTAAAAATATTTTAAGTTTTATTTATTTATTTTGAGATGGGGGAGGCAGAGAGAGAGGGAGAGAGAATCCCAAGTAGGCTTCACACTGACAGTATGGAGCCCAATGTGGGGCTCGAACTCACGAAGCATGAGATTGTTGCCTCGACAGTCTGTCCTCGCCCTCCGGTGTGGTCATCTGAGAGTGGCCAGCAGCCCGCTCCCTCCCGGTCACTGCTGGGGACAGGTGGCTGGGTCACCGCCGGCGGGACTATCAGGACCCTGACACCGCGTGCACTGCCCTGCACACCGTGGGGGTCACGAGGACAGCAGGCCCTCGGAGAACATAGGGCAGGGTGACCAGGAATAGGGGCTCTCCCCCCCACTGGCAGAGGAGTGGTTTGGACAGAGAGAGTAGGCCCCCGACTCGGTGGGACGGGCCCCGGGACCTACCCCCAGCCAGAGACCGTGCTCTCTGAGAGGCGGGGTAGGGTCCCCCCAGGACTCTGCAGCGGCTGGCCCACCGTGTGCTCCCGCAGCATGGCTGTGCTGACCCATGTCATTCGGGGGTCAAGTCAGACTGTCACACACCCTGTGGCACCATGTGGCTGTGGGCCAGACGCTCCTGGAGGTTACTCAGGGTCTAGTCATCCCGAGTGGGGTCTCAGGGGTGTCCCAGGCAGAGCCAGGGTGCTGCTAGCAAATGGCCAGAGGTAGAGGCAGGGCACAGGGTAGAGAGGGCGGGGCAGGGATCAGAGATCAGGGTTTGCGCAGGGTCGCACCGTCCGAACGAGAAGGGGCAGGCTGGGGGTGCGGGGGATGCCTCCAGCCCTCCCCAAGGAAGGCTGCTACCCAGAGGCCCGCCCCGCGGCAGGTCCCCACTGTGAGACCTCCGCACTCCGCCGGCCTGGGGTTCCTGAGTCTTTTCTCTGCTCGGCCCGCCTGGTTCGCTGCTTCCAACAAGACCACTCCTAACTTGAAACCGCGACTCTCCTTGCGCTGAGGCCGGCCCCCTGCCAGCCCCTGGGCTTGCAAGCACCACCTCTGGGCACAGCTGTCTGACCACCCTGCTTCACCGCAGCCTGCCCCCTCGGGTTGTCAACGCCCCCTCCTCCGAGAAGCCCTCCCAGACTCCAGGCTGAGAGGTTCCGACTTCCTGCCTCAGGGTGCCTGTGGTCCCCCTTTCAACTGCTTTTCACCAGAGAGCAGAACTTCCCGGAGCCTGCACGGCTGCTCTTCCGGGTAAGGCCGTCCGGCCCCTTTGCAGCCTCACGGTGACCACACGGCACACACAGGCCTCACCGGCTCCTCTGATTCTCTGTGACTCCCGATCCCGGCCGATCACCCATGCCGGCACTTGGGGAAGCCAGGGCCCTGGCGCGCGGCTGCCACTGCCAGAGGCACTGGGGGCTCTGCCACAAGCGTGCCGCGTCCTGAGTGGCCCCCGTTGGCCCGGAGGAGGCGGGTGCTGTTCCAGGGTCAGAACCTGGACCAGGCAGGACCCCGGCAGCGCCGGCAGCCGTGCAGACTCTGGACTTGGACTTGAAGCCAGCCCTGCCGGGGGCCTGCCTGCATCACCCGGACCAGCCCAGGGCGGTAGCCCATCTTCACCACGTCAGCCCCCCACCCAGCCTCCTTTGTTCCGGCACAGATGCCCCCCGGCAAGCTGTGTCGTCAGCTGTGACCGGAGACACCAGCCCCTCCGAGCTCGCGTGTCCAGTGTCTGGATGTAATGGGTTCATGACTCTTGACAGACCAGGGAACCACCCTGTGACCCAAGACGCGAGGGGGCCGCCGTCTCCTTACCCCCCAGTAAAACCTCAAACACCCAGAAGTGAGAACTCTTAGCTTGGTCTTTATAATAAAATTATTATTCAATCATATAACACAGAGTCAAAGAAAAGATATAAAAATTGGAATGTAGACTTTGATTTGTAGAAAACATCAGAACGGAACACAAAGACACATCCCCCTTCCCCCACCGCCCGCAGAGAGGTGGGCAAGGCCCCCCTAGAGGAAGCGGCTTGTTTGCAGCAACCCCCAGGCCGTGGGGACACTGGAAGGGCAGAGGCTCTGAGGCAGAGCTGCTGGCATGGTGGGGGGGGGGGGCGGGTAGGGACTGGGGTGGCCTGAGGTGAGGCCTGATGTTGAGGCAAGGGGTTTCCAGAGAAAGCAGGACATAAATGCACCCTAGGGGCAGGTGAAGGTCCTCAACCTTGCAAAGGTAGACACAGAGCACAGGCTGTCCCAAAGGCCCTGACTGGGAGCAGGCAGAGCTCAGGGTGAAGGCCCAAGGCCACCCATCCGGGGGGCACCTCAGTCCCAGCCCCCACCCCCACGCCACAGGAGTACTGCCTGGTCCAGGCGGGGCTGGCGGGCATCTGGTCGGCTCTGCCCTTCCTCCCGCCAGGACGCAGGGCTGTGAGTCTCAGTCAGGTGGGGCAGGGATGATAGAGAAAAGGCCCTCTCTTCCAGGGAGGCCTCTTGGCCCTAGGTTTGGGCTAAGGACCCTGTTCCAGTAACAGAGACACTGGCTTTTGGTTTATTTAAAAATAGAAAATAGTGGCACCTGGCTGACTCAGTTGGTGGAACACACAACTCTTAATCTCAGGGTCATGAGTTCAACCCCCACACTGGGTACAGAGCCAGAGAGAGAGAGAGAGGAGGGAAGGAAGGAAGGGAGGAAGGGAGGGAGGGAGGGAGGAAGAAAAAGAAAGAAAGAAAAAGAAAGACAAAGGAGGAAAGACAAAAAGGGAAGAAGGACAAAGCTGAGCTCCGCAGCCAGCGCCCCCGTGTGCTCAGGGATGGTGTTCAAAGACCAAAGAGGAACTTCAGCGGGATTTCCTTCTGACCCCAAGCCTTCCCAGAGGACCTCCCCCAGCCCCTGACCCCTGAGATGTGCCCTGTCACCAAATTTCCGGAAGAAAGGCTCAGCAGGGAGAGGACTCTACCCCCCACTGCAGGGTGGGGCCTGGCTGCTCTCCGCCCTGGGGTGAGGCCAAGACTCTGGAAGGAGATTATTGCTCAGAAGTTGGCCTCGGAAACCCAGTCCGTGGGCGGGGTGGCCGGCAGTGGCCACTGAAGGCTCACGGATGCCCCTGGGTGGGGCCCGAGAGGCAGCCTGAGAACAGTGGGCAGGTGGACACGCCTCTTCAGGGACACACGGCCGGCCTCCGCCGAACCCGCACCTGGTTGGCGGCCACAAGGCTCTGCCGGGCCTCACAGAAGTCCAGGAATCTGCTCCAGAGAGGGCAGCAACGCAGCAGGCGGTGGTCTCCTGCCCGGGTGGGGAGAGAGGAGAGGAGTCCATGGTACACCCCGCCCCCGCCCCAGCCAAGCAACCCCACCCCCACCCTGGGCCAGGTAGCCACGCCCCTCGGGAGGAGCCCCGCCCCAGCCCGCCTCCAGCCCCCTGTCCCACCGATGATGCAGAGCCCCTCTTGGGCCCGGGTGATGGCCACGTTCACTTGGTTGGGGTCCACAACAAAGCCCAGGAACTTCTTAAGCCAGCTCTTAGTCGGCCGCTGGTCCAGGTCACTCTCCTGGCACGTGCGGACTGTGCTCACCAGCACGTAGCGCCACTCGCTTCCTGCGCGGTTGGGCAGGCATGCTGAGGCCCCTGTCAGCCGTCGCTGACCGTGCCGCTTGCATCCACCCTCGGGACCCGCTGGCCCAGCGCCCCCCGCCCCAGAGCCACCCTCACCCTGGCTCTTGGTGATGGAGCACACGGTCACTCCGGCGACGCCCTGGCGCACAAGACTCTTGCTGATCTCCGCAACCTGAGCGTTGTAGGGAGTGAGGATTGCAATGTCCTTGGGGTCCACTGTCTTGCCCAGGGTCAGCTGCTTGGCAATGCGGACCTGAGGGGCCAAGAGGGTGTTGTTAAAGCTAACCCTGGGCACCGGAGCCTCACCTGTTCCTCGGCCTCCTCCTCCAGGAAGCTCTCCCTGACCAAGACACTCACCACCTCTGCTACCTCCTCCAGGTTGGCCTTGGAGTTTTCATTCCCTTCATCTGTGGACACCAGTAGACTCTGTTCATGGCCTTGCACGTGGCCGAAAATGACAGGGCAGCTCTCCTTGCCGACGTGGCCCAGGATGCTAGGCGGCCGCCTCAGGCCTTGCCAGGTCTTCAGCGCCCCCTTGTAGAACTCCATGGACGGGAAGGCACAGATGCCCTTGTGCTGCAAGGCAGGGCGTAAGCCAGAGCAGGTCACCTGTCCACCTGTCCTGGGGCCAAGAGCTGGGGTCTTGGGGGTCTGCCGCGGCCCCATGACAAGGCCAGGGCTGACACAGGAGGTGGGGCGTGGGCAGCAGCACTGCTGGCGCCCTGGCCTCAGACCGCGCCTCGGGCAGGAGGAGGAGGAGCTGGCGGCTTACCATGCGGTACTGTATGTCCAGCATGTAGGCCTCCGCGTGGTGCCGCTCGAAGAGAGACCGATCCAGCCCCAGATTTTGCAGCTGCTCATTCTTGACCACAGGCCGCAGCTGCTTGTGGTCCCCAAGGAGAACCACCTGGAGGGGGAGGCAGGCATGGTCCCGACACCCCCGGACCCAGAGGGACCCAGCTCCATGGCCATCGCCGCTTGGCCGAAACAGC